TGTTGCTGTTCTCTTCCGTCCACTTCCTTGACGTCGGGCTACGCTACCAGTATCACGGTAACGAGCGATGGTACGAGACAAAAAAAGACTTATTCACATTTAAATGCAAACTCGATCTAAGTTTGATAATAGTATTACGATATACCAAGTTTGGACCAAATTGGATACTCCCTTCGTGCGCACCAGTCAGGCAGACGGACATCACTAAATCGACTCCAAATGTCCTGAAACGGATTCGGTCAAATAGATCTAGGATCTAAAATCATTATTTCGATAAGGCACTTTTGGCTTTGATATATACCCTCTCTAGATATATAGCTGAGGGTATAAATGCGGTAATTGCTCTAGTAGCCCTTAACATTGACATTCTTAAAAGTATACTTTCAAAATAGTTCACCATCATTGCTCTGGTAATCCTTTAATACATAATAGATCTAAAAGCCATGACGAATTATAAATAAATGAATCCAAAAAGTACTTTAAAAACGTTCCAGGGTATTTCAGTTCCGACACTTCTTCACGATATGTTCTTTCAAAAACTTACGATTAATCTTAAGATCAACGATTATAGGTATGAGTTCTTAAATAATATTCTTAAAAATTCACGAACATAGATCTTGAAATCTTTGAAAATATACAAAAAGGTCCATTATCATAGCTATTATAATTTTTAAAAAATATCCTTAAAAGATCTAGGATTATAATCATTTTTACTTTTTCCTTCTTGCAATATTCATATTTAAATTGTAATCTCCCAGGCCTTCAAGGCTTTCTTTGTATTGATGTTAAATAAATAAAATAAAAATATTTAAAAAGAATTTAGTCATGTAGTCCTAAAAAATATTCCAAAAATATATATTCTAAAATTTTAAATTAAATTATAATCTTACAACCAAAAAAATATTTAAAAATACGATTTCAGTTCCTATAGTCCTAAAAATAATTTTTAAGAAAATTGTGGCAAGCCTTTGAAACTAAATTTCTGCATTATTTTTCTCCTTAGCAATTCATCCTTTAATAGTCCACGATTAAGTTCTGCTAGTCCTCTAAGCCTGTATTCCTAAAAGATCACAATTCAAAAGAATAAACAATTTCATTTGTCCACTATTTTTTTTTTCTTTTAATTATTTTTCTTTTCTCTTTCTATTTCATCTCTTCGAGATCATTGTACGAATGAACTTTGCTGTGAAAAAAATAAAAATGAATTTTTTTCCGGCAAATCATAATTGTATTAGACCAGCAGGTATTGACTTAGATGCTGGATGAAGTGGCTTGTGTCGCTGCCGATTTTTTTCTATCCGTCTGTCTGTTGCCTTAGGTAGAGCTTGCCTGGCTGGCTATAATTCTCAACGATAACTTTGGGTTCAAGTACATTTGTATTTGTGTCTCACGTTTCTATAACTGATATACATCGTTTTTCCATCACAACAGATTTGCCCTGAACCGAAACGATCTCCAATTGACAATAACAATAACACCCGACTAATAACAATAAAGCCAGGCATTGCTATATATATTACGGAATGGTGTGATGTGATGGTGGGATGATAGCTGATATTAAACCAAAGAAGAAAAAAACATTGGCAACAATGCTGACTGCTGATCACGCGACAAGGTATAAACATCGTCTAATTAATTGATAAAGCACAATTCCAAATTATATTATAAAGCAGGGGAAAAATATGTACGCGTACACATACTCAAAATTGTGCGTATTGAAATGCAGTATGGTATGTGTTACTAACCAAAAAAAGATTTGTATGAGAATATTATTTTTTGTTCTTTTGAAATCTATTCGAGCAATAATGGATGAATTTTTGTTATAAATATTTCTGGATCTGACACTAATCTATAATCATAGCTACGACCATGAATTTTTTGAAGAGAGTGTTTGAAGAACTGTTTAAGTTTTTAAAAACGATCAGTCATAGACTTTTTAAGGAATAATCGTAGATTATTTGGAATTTTCGTTCAGGGACTGTCAGAATATCACTTAAAGGCTATAGAGCTGTAATCAAGTAATCCTTTAAAAATTTTTTTTTAAAGACTATAATCACGTATTTTTCGAGGACCGCCAGCAATGTGATCGTGGATTTTTTTAAGAATATTTTTTAAAGAACCATCACAAAAAAATCATGGATTTTTTATGAATACTTTTCTAAAGGCGATGATTGACGTATGTTGTATAGAGCATTAGCAAGTGCCCGCCACCATCAAATTTTAGATTCGTTCATATTAGGCTTTTTTAGTACTCAAAATGCACAATATATTCGGTTAGATTTTTTTATAAAAACTTTATACATTGTACTCAATATTCAGACCTTTAAGGTTTAATAAATTATTTAAGTATTTACTATTTCTGAAAGAATAATGCCAAATAGCTTTCAAAATCTTTCATTTTGAATTTTATCGGGGAAAATATTAGTAAAACCATATCACAATGGACTCACATCTAATATTTCTTTCCAAAACTATTTCAAAACTATTTCTCCATATGTAATCCATAGACCTCTACAGAGTGAGATGAAAAAACTGCAACCAATTTCAGACTGCTGTCATTTCTAAGCCACTCATCCGACAACTGTTACAATGGTTCGATAAGTAAAGAAGCGACTTGATCGAAACCCGTGTCGCAGTGGCCGGTGAGCTGAACATATTGCAATATTCCATTCGGACAAAAATATAGAAAAATGAGCCCGGGGTAAAGCCATTGAAATTACAAATAGTGCAAGAAATTACACCGCAACAGAAAGAAAATAGACTCAAAAGAGTTAAAAGTTGCTTCGTTGGACTATTGTGTCTGGAGTATTTTGGAAAGCATGGTTGGCTTTAAAAGATACTAAAATGTCGATGAACTGAAGCAAGCGCTTCGCCGGGAATGGGCCAAAATACCGCAGAGCAACATTCGGCAGTATGTGATGGTTTCATTTGCTGTTTGAAGACCATAATTTGTGCCAAAGATGACCAATTGTATCTAAAATTTAATGCTATTTCCAACATTTTTTGCATTCATTCAATAAAATTTAAAAAAAAAAGTGTAGAAATCATGGTGTTTTGCAATTTTTTTATCTCACTATTTTAGAACTTTTCGTAACCTAAAAGATAAAATTTTCAAAAACCCTTTTGTACATCTAACCTGCACACCACCAGCGACTATAATTCTAAATTTCCAGAATTCTAGTTCGTTCCGTTTGCCCAACACAAAGCATTACATTTTTAGTACATTTTAGTAGTTTTCTAACCCTTTAGCACGAATTCCCAAAAACCCGGCCTTATTACCCGCCAAAAATCCAAATATCCAGGACTGACCCCCGTGGACGTTTTTGGGCTTTGTTGTTGCAAAATGGTCAGGTTTAACCCCTTTATTGTTGTTTCTATATAAACAACGTTTGCTTATTAGTGGAGAACGATGGTAATGTTTACATTAATTTCAAGGACTGTCGCAACTGTTATTGCGGTTTTTTAGAGAATGTTTTTTCAAGGACTGTGAGAGCTGCGATTGTTTCAAAGACTATCAGGAATAAAATCGTGCATTTTTTATCATCAGCGATATAATATTGTACTTTTTCAATAATCAGGGATAAATCGTGTATGTTTTTGGGGTTTTAATTAATTTCAAGGCCGGTCGGAACTGTTATCTCGATTTTTTAGAGAATGTTTTTTCAAGGACAGTGGGAGCTGCTATCGCGGTTTTTAAGAATATTTATTTAAAGACTATCAGGAATTTTAGTGATATAATCATGTACTATTTTAAGATTATTTTTTCAAGGATCATTAATGCTTTAATCGCAGAATTTTCGTGCTATTCCGAAATTTCTAAAAATATTAGTACCCCTTTGGATTAACATGAACTAATAGTAAGTAACGGGTACGTAATTGCCACTATTCGTGTAAATGGAATCAATTTTCATTATATTTTTGAGTACCTTATCAGTTGTTCATTTTTTGTGACAAAAATAACAATTCTAACAAACTACTATGGAATTGTCTAATTTAAGATGCATCGCCAGACATTCGCTAAAAATTGTTGACAATTATTTGTTCTTCTTTCTTTCAAGCAAATAATAAATTTAACAACATATTTATGTAAATAAAACAACTACTTCTGATTATGTTTTGTTTTTTGTTTTCCGAAACTAATATTTCTTATCAATCTTTTGGTGAAAAAAAAACTTGTGATTATCAATCAATCGGTCAAAATAAAGGTGAATATTATCGCATCACGATGAACGTCAGTGGTATTCAAATCAATTATCAATACAAATAGGTGATTGTATAGCAAAGGACCAGAAAATTCTTCCGTGCCCCTTTTTATTTATTGCTTACATTTATTTTTCTATCTAGGAAAATATTGGTCAAGGAACCCAGAAACTTTTGCTTCGCCAAGCGGTTTATAACGAGAAATAAAATCTTATAATGCCAAGCCAAGGGTAGTTTAAAAAGTATCTCTTAACAATATGGATATTTATATATTTCAAAATCAATATTTTGGGTTATATTTTATATAGGTCGCATAAAATATTATAAATATTAAAGAAGCAAACGTTCGATATTTGTATTTTATTTATCTTTCATTCATAGCAGGTTTTTGGTTTTACACTTACGTACTTCTATAAGCATTGTGGACTCATAGGAGATCAGTGGTTGCGTCAATTGTATTCCTATCACAAATCGGATTATTTGATTTTTAATATTACAATCAAATTGAACCTGTACACAATGTAATTATCACCAATAGGATTTTTTTGTTTATACAACTTTAAAGACAGATAATTGCGCCGAGTTTTTATATTAATTGTACAATCAGATCTACAATTGTTTAGGATTAATTTTCTTTCATTTATTTACATTCATTCAGACCACTATAAAAGTGTTTTTAATTAAAGCTTTGAATAAATTAAAAAAATCTATATTTTTTCCATTTCAGGTCATACCACTCCATTTTTCCAGGTTATACCTGATAGCGATTACCTTCATATATCACATGAATTCGAAAAAAATACTAAGTCACTGCACCGTATATTTTTTTAATTTACATTAACAACTATTTTGCCACGCAAATGACCATTTTTAACTCTCTGAAAAGCCTCAGGCATTTGCTCCATTTTGTAAGTTTTCTCAACGAGAGGTAGAAGCTAAAACAAATAATAGCAATAGGAGTACAAAAATCCATTATTAGAATATACTCACCTTTTTCCTTTCGACCAACTGCTTCAGATGGCTTATACCCTGTGGCGCTGGACTAAAGAAACCCCATTTGATCAAACCCTTTTGCTGTGTTATGGACTTAACATTTGTCTCCAAAAGACTGCCGAAATTTTTCAACAGGCCCAAAGCCATGCCAGAGCTGTCGATATTTCGCAAAAGTGGTGATGAAAATGTAACATATTGTTGATATTTGAAATTTAACGCCTCCGCCCCATTGGGGCCTTGGCCACTGCAATCGAGCACAATATCATAGGGAGCATATTGACGCAGTGTTTCCATTTCAACGGGATTCTGATAATCCACAACAATATCAGCTCCCAAATTTTGTACCAACTCACGTGCATTTTCACTACAGGTGGAAACCACTTGGGCCCCCTGGGCCTTTAACATTTGTATGGCCAATGAACCGACACTGCCTGATCCGCCCAAGACTAAAATACGTTTGTTGTTGCAATTGGCACCACTGCCCGTTAAGCTGCCGCATATACCACCCAAGTTTGCTGTCACATATAGACCCGACCAAGCGGTTAATCCGGCATATAATACAGAGGCGGCTTCTTCGTTGTTGAGATTTGTGGGGGCTGGAGAAAGCTAAGGGAGATATAAGGAATTAAACTATATTATTTATATTAATGTTAAGGAATATTATTTGGAAGATTATCACGTCTTGAGCCAAAGATTGTGGAATATTGAACAATATTCAAAGATAGTTTTTAAGAATAGTTTATGAGAGTTGCAGTCGTGAATGGTTGTACTAATTCTATAACAATATATTAAGGGTATATCTTGTGCAATTTTAAAGAGTATTTTCGAAGGGTTTTTGGATCCATATTCTCAAATATTTTTAAGAATATTCTTAATGGTTAGCAGAGATTTTTAAGATTTTAAGAATGGTGGTGATAAGTTCTTGTTCATTTTTGAAAGTGTGGACTGCTTGAAGTCATATGGCATATTTTGGGACATATCAAACTGGGATGTCAAAGCCGCACTCGAATCCTACAGTCGTTTTTCCTTATAGTTTGACATTATTATAGATAGCCATTATGCAGAGCTGCTTATGTACCCACACCTTAAGAATACAGGGTGAGATAAAAAACTGCAACATTTTTAATTTTTTTTTTTAATTTTATTGAATGAAAGCAAAACAATATTTATTCTGACGTCGATTAATATGAGCGGAGAGCGACCATCGGTTGTTATGGCGGCCCACACCATCACCATGGCCGGAGCTTGAGTTCTGGTGGCCAACAGAAGGTGCACATTTTCAGCTGATCTATTTGGCAAGTTAACATGATCATTTTGTTTTTTTACAAACTGCTGGACAAGAATGTTTTCTCGTCGGAGAAACACACATTTGGCAGTTTACCATTTTCGGCTAAGCGAAGCAACTCTTTAGCTCTTTTGAGTCTATTTTTTTTCTGTTGCGGTATAAGTTCTTGCACTTTTTGGAATTTCAATGGCTTTACCCCAAGCTCATTTTTTGATATTTGCCGAATGGAATATTGCGAAATATTCAGCTCAAGATCCATTTTTCGGCCACTGCCTCGCGGTTTCGATCAAGTCCCTTCTTTACTTTTCGAAACATTTCTGCTGATGTTGCTGTTTTCTTCTGTCCACTTCCTTGTTGTTTGGCTACTCTACCAGTATCACGGTAACGAGCGATGGTACGAGACACAAAATATTTATTCACATTTAAATGCTGGAGTGTTCTAACGATAGCCACTTGTGGTTTACCGGCCAAATATAAAGAAATCACACTGTCACGCTTGAATTCCATCACAAATAACTTTCTTTCTGGAAAATTATCACCAAAATGCTTTTGTACGTTTGTAAACAATATAATGAGCTGTCACTGGAATAATTTTAACAGCTGTCGGACGAGTGGCTTAGAAATGACAGCAGTCTAAAGTTGGTTTCAGTTTTTTCATCTCACCCTTTACATATCCGATGCCTTTAACATCTCCGAGAGCCCCGTCGTGTATGTCATAGTTTTGTAGATCTTTTTCTTCTTTTTCCGCACATACACTTATGCCTTTTTTACACAATGAATTACATAATCGATGGTTTTGGTGGTGGTCATTTTTCCTGAGAATATCATTAATAATTTTTAAATTGTCAGTATGAAACCCTTTATCACTAATATTTTGATGTGAAATTGAGCCGTCTCTCTGATTATGACACTATTTAAGAATGACGTTCTATTACCCTTTTTCCATCTGAAATTGAATTTGTGGAGTATAAGAATTCAAGATGTCCAGAGTTGAATTTATGTCCCTTTCTTTATGATTGTGAATACGTCCTCGTCGTACTTTGTCGGGGTTTGGAATGTATTCTCTAATCAAACTGTCTAGCAATTTTTCCATCATAATCTTTACAAGTCATGGGCATTCTATAAGGGTATTTTCAAGATCGTTCAGTGGTGAAATTATTTTATAATTTCAAAGTTATCCCCGTTATAACTCAGGATATGTCTTAAGGGTTTTTAAGAGTTATCAGAAGAGATTTTACAAGAATAATACATCTCTTCATAACTCAACTTGAGAGATAATCCTTTATAAGAGGTCATTTAGAACACAACGTATTGGTCGCACATCAAATTAAGTTTCTCTTTTGCTTTTAGAAATCCTTGGAGGTAAATAATTTAGATATAGTTTTACGAGCCTTACACAATGCTTTGGGACGGCTACATATTCGGCATGGGCACCCTGTGGCATTTGAACGGGAACAACACCCCATACCCTTTGGCCGAGGGGCAGCTGGGAATTGTCATTGACGTTCATTCCTTTTTGTACCAGAACTCCACAGAATTCTCTTCCCAATGTTAATGGAAATTCAATGGAATTACCCTGACAACGCATAGCATTCAAAACCTTGGAGCCATAACCACCTGTAAAAATATAATTTTTTTAAATATTGTCAAGGATTTACTTTTCTAGACTATCATACTCAACATTGCAACGTCAATGGGATTTACAGATGTGGCCAACACTTTTACCAAACAGTGATCTGCTTGACGTATCTGGGGCATTTTAAGTTTATCGGAATACTGCAGCTCCTCCACATCGCCATAGCTGTGGATTTGCCATCCTTTCATTTTCAATTTGGATTTGGTGGTTTCCATAACATCTTTGGTCATTGGTGGTGGTGCTGTAACATGTGTCGCACTGTTGGCTACATGGGCCATGTATCGTATATTCCGGGTAATGTTGCTGCCATCACAAAGTCGTATCAGATATCTTATTTGCATTTTTGCAATTATTTATATAATTTAATTATTTATTTATTAATTTATTGTTTTGTTGCAGAAAAGAACGAATGAGCCTGGGGGAAACCAAAATGAAAGTCGTCCCCAACAAAACGAATATGAAGGCCACAAAGGAATACTTGATAAAACAAAGAAAGTAAAATCCCCAAGGGACCTGTTGTTTACGAATGAGACATGAGGAAAATTGAACACATTCACTAAAAGAGCGCGGAACTAGTTACAAATTAAATTTGTTCGAACTCGACTATGGACAGGGGTGAAAACCGAGTACTCTACTATTCATAGTCGATTTTTCGACTTATGCTATGTTCTCATTCCAATTTCAATCACGTTGTTCGTTCTCAAAATTAGGTACACAAATTAACCCGTTCATTCGTAATTCATAGTAACATAATTCCTTTTTTCAAATTTTTTGTTTGTTTATTTTTATAGGAATTTTTACGAAAATACGTGAAATTAGCATTAAAAATAATAGAAGAAGATATTGTCTTTCCTCCAAAGATTTACTTTATCCTTCATTTAACAATTTTCATTCATGAATGATTTAAGACTTTGCCTTATTGGGCTTTTATGTCTGTCTGTGATTTGAATGGAACAAAAATCATTGTTCTCATCTTTTGTGTGGGGAATCAAGTAAATATATCATAATTAATGGTCGAAAAACGAATAAAGAACGAATCACGTGCCATGTGAACTTAGCATTATGTGAAAAGATGTATTATTTCTCGATTGGCCTAGTTCAAATGAACAATTCACATTTATGAACTACTGGCCTAGCTCAATCAAAGTCGTTCCTTAATATATCATGATATACATTGTTGGCAAAAACATATTTGTTGAACACACGCAGAGCATTGCGTATGTAAGGAAGAGGCAACGCGTCGATTACTTACAATGTATAGAAAGTGGTAAGAGACAACATGTCGCAACAGCTGATGAGCAGACAATGAAGCCGAACGTTGTTTTTTGGCTGCGGTGGCTCATTGCACCTCTCAGTCGGCGCGCTTTCCATTTTTTTTTGGCGGCTGGATTTTTTAAAAATATTTTAAAGTGATTTTTTATTCTTTTCTTATTTTAAGACTTTTAATCGACTTTTGCTTCCTCGAAGTGGTACTTCTAATGACAAATAAGAAATAATGAGCATTACATGAGACAACGAAAGCATTAGTATATAGACCGGTTTTCGAGTCAAGATAATTTTTTTACAGCACTCCCAGAAGATGTGGAACAAAACCTCAAACGCTCCACGTTTCTTGTTTGAAAGTTCATTATTTTAATACCATAAATTTGCTATAAATACAATCAAGTTATTACAAGTTAATTAGTTATGGGATTAAAATACAATATAGAATATTTATATATTACAAATTGTTTTTCTTGTTTGTTATATTTTACTTTACTTTGTTTGCATGTTAAGAACATAAAAAGCTAAGTAAGCTTTTAAAAAATGAAGCATAATGTATAATGCATTACAGAATATATATATGGGAAGAAAGAGGGGGTCGCAGGAGTCCAAGAAAAATAAACAAATAATAGTTATAAAGAATATAATATCACATAAAGATTAACTTTAAATATGACCACTTTGACTTTGCAGTGTTAAGTTGGAGTCTGAATTAGAAAAACCTTTAGCCATTGACGAATGGCATTCTCTTTCATCTTCACTGTCCGTGTACGAGCCAGCAGAACGGCAAATTCTTAAAAGAGACAATTACTTCATTATGTTTTGCAAATTTATCGAATCTTATCTACACACCTTTGTTGATTATTTTGCAGCATTATATTGTGTTCCTTTTGTATATCGATCGGCTTGGAATTCAAATGGCTAGATAAGCGCAAATTTTCTGCTGTTAGTGGGAAATTTGTTAAATTATGACGATGCATGGTTATAGTTGGGGGTTGCATATGATTCATATCTACAGATGAATGTGATTTCGACAATGAATAGTCTTTGCCATTATTAATGGAGGTGTTTATGTAAGGATCTTCATTATGGTGATGATGATTTTCATTTGTTAGACAATATAATTCGTTTGTATTATCGTTTATGATCAATCGTTTACGCGGCAATGTTCGTATATTTGAATGTATTTCTCGTTTGTTCTGTTCGATCTCAACAAACATTTCGAAAATATGTAAAATATTGCCAATGGTACAGCGTATGTCACAGCGTTTGCCAGTTATTTCATAACTTAATTGAGCTATATTTTGATTCAATAAATTTATAGCATATTTCATAGCCTTTGTTGGTATTGATGATCGGCTATATAGGGGATATCTGAAAACAAAACACAAATTAATAGAAAAAGTGAATTCCGCCGCGATTTTATATACTCACTCTCTTAATGTATAAGTTGGAATATCTTTAATAATGTCCTTTATGCGTGTGCGAGAGCCCTCATATATTATGGGATTTCTGAAAGAAAGCAAAACGATTGGTATTTAATTGTAAGCCGTTGTTGGATATAGACCTACCTTAAAGGACGATTTATTATCACCGATATCATTTCTACCAAATGTGCTACATAACCCAACGAGGCACTTATGGCCATTGGTGTTATATTCTCTGATATATACACGCTATTGGGATTATTGGAATCGTATACATATCCTTCGACCGAAGGAAAAGGAACACCACAAATCGTGTAGACGCCACGACCACTTTCACATATCGGATAAATTTCTCTTAATTCTATGCACAGCGAGGACATACGTCTCTCAACATGTTGCGTTACCGAGCGCTTACGTTGTCGTCGTTCCAACTGCTGAACGCTGAGGTCTTCCAGTTCGGCCTTCTCTTTATTAAGATTCTGTCGGCTTTTCTCTAGCCATGCTTCCAGTTGTTGTCTCGTCGCAATGGTCGCCGTCAGTTTTTCGCTTAAGTAGGCAATGCGTTTAGAAAAAGTATCACAAACACTGTGTAAGAGTCTTTGTCTGGACTTTAAAGATTCCAATTGTTGCTGCAACTGCTGGGCATGTAACAATTGATGCGGATCAATGCGCTGCTGTTCGGCCAACAAGAGACTCAAGGTACGTCCCATGGAATGGTATTGAGAGGCAGTTCCCGACAATGATGCGGACGATGAACTTAACGATGTTGTCCTTGGCTTACGTAATAACTGTTCTTTGGTTATGCATCTTAAACTCAGACGTTTTATTTCGGCTGTCAACTCAACACATTCTCGCTGTGTTTGTAGCCTTTGCCGTTGCAGCTGTTGTAATCTCAAAAGTTTGACTAAATCATAGCTGGTTCTAACCTCGGTACGCACACAGTTCAACTGGGCATAACGGGTGCGAGACATACGCAGTAAGTCCCTTTGCCAATCCACGGACGTGGGGCTGGAGCTACGACTAACATGTGGAGAATTTATGGTAAATTCGTCGGGTGTGGGTATGCTACACTTTGGCACACTAGCCGAGTAACGTTCATAGTTTAAGGCCAGTTGTTCCCTTAAGTTTTCCGTGGTGAAGTTATCAGGTGAAGCAAACAGCTCGTCGTTCATTTGGAAAATCAAGGTGTTCTTATTTAATTTTGCTTCACTGTTTTGTGACAAAGGAATGAGTCCGGAAAAGAAAACGCCCCAAGTAAAGAGCAGTTTGTCGGGAGGTATATTCTGTCTTCTGGATTTTGCAAATTCCAGCGATAAGGCACTATAATAATTAAATAAAAAAATCACAAAATTGGAAAACCTATGAAATATTGTCCTAGCTTACCTAATGGGCTCCTTATTTCGTTGCTTTGTATTATCCTCCAAACCCGCCCCATTATTATTGTTTTGGCCTTCTGCTGTTGCTGTCGACGACTTCTTCACCTTTGCCCAGACTTTAATGCAAACACAATTAGCATTGGATTTGATCATCGACAGACAATGAATCTCCGCCCATTTTACGGGCAAATATAAACGTAATGGGAGTTTTTCACTTTCATAAAATGGCTCGTTTTCCGGATGATCATGTAGGGTAAAATATACTAAGGTTGCTGGGCAGGCACAATACGTATCTGCTTGCGCTGCTTCTGGGGACACGGACGTCGACGACGACGAGGAGGAGGGACTGCAGCTACAACAATCTGTCTGATTGCATTCAATGTTAATCCCTTGTATGGCTGATAAATTTCTCAAACGCAATTGTTGTGTGCTCAGTGGCAGCCATTCCCGACACCTTGGTCTAATATTCATGGTGTCCGCAGTTTATTTGTGTATAAACATATTTTAATTTTCCAATTGAAGTTCTTTAATTTTTTCCAAATCATTCATACACTCTTCTTGTCATATGCGACGTGAAATTGCTTTTATAAACTGGAAATCTTGTTACCTTTATACTTCTAGATTACCACCGTTTCATTACTGTATTCTAGATTTGTGGAATTAGGAGAGCTTCTTGGTTTTAAATAACTTTTTTTTTAATAAATTTAAGAGGTCTCACAACGAAAATGCCTGAAATAAATAAAAAAATACAATCCTATTTCGATTAATCGAAATTTATCGTTTATCGACATTCAACCAAATCAACGATTGTTGAACTTGAATCATTTTTAACGATATAAGCTTTGTTCCTTTATAGCCAAAATTCTTCAACGTTCCACTATGCGAAAGACTAGTAAAACTTTAATGTAAACTTTAGGAAATTCAGATAATTGTTGTCGAAATTTGATTATTATTGGAAGGACTGCCTAATTTTAACTTTTTAATAACTTCAGAGGTCAAATTTCTCTTTCATACTGACTATTAAGAGCTCTGTTCCAGAATCTGCTAGGATCAACTGGTTTTGCATTTTTACCATATCGTAAAGAGAAAAATGGTTATCGTAGTAAAAGATTTTACATTTTTGCAGTTCCAAAGGGTTGAAAAATTGCGTTCCTTTCTACTATTTGCATGTTCCCTTTGGAAACTTATTACATCTTATTACATGGAAAAATGGAATTTGACATTTCAATGACAGCGAAAAATGTAAAAAAAAACAAAATAATTCAATTTCTTATTGGAATTTATCATAAAATCTGGAAAAACGCAAAATATTCATCTTTGTTATTTTATATTCATCATCTGTTCGGTAGCGTCATTATTATTGATATAATAGATGTGTCTGTCAAAATTTGTAACAAATGTCGAAATTGTTACTGGAAAGCGATTCGGAAGAGAAATTTTCAGTTCTTTCACTGACGGTCTCAAAATTTGTGCTAAACAAATTTCTTTTTGTAACCCTAAGGGGCTAAGTATATAAGAAGCTTGTAGTCATGGCTAGGCATATTTTGTGACATTTCACAAAGGGATTACAGAGCCGCACTAAAATCCAGCCGTCGTTTTCTATTATAATTTGACATTATATACCTAGCCATGACTTCAAGCTTCTTATGTACTTAGCCCTTAAAGGTGCAAGTACATAAAAAGCTTGAAGTCATGACTAGGTATATTAATGTCAAATTATAATGGACAACGACGACTTAGCCCTTAAAGGTGCAAGTACATAAAAAGCTTAAAGTCATGGCTAGGTATATAATGTCAAATTATAATGGAAAACGACAGCAGGATTTAAGTACAGCTCTGTAATCCCTTTAAAAAATGTCACAAAATATGACTTCAAGCTTCATATGTACCTACACCCTAAAGGTGAGAGTAATAAGATTCCTGGATTGGAAGTCGATTGGTACTGGAAGTCTTTTAACGCACAAGATCTTAAAAAGAGAGCGACTTGAGAGAATAATTTTGACAGTTCATTTACTAAGAGTTTGCAAATTCTTGTTGGACAAATTTCTTCTTGCAACTCTTTTTCTTCTACTTCAGTAGTTAATATTCGGACAAGCAAACTATAACATCTTTATTTTGGAAATCGCAAGGGCAATTGTTTTGTTTTTCGACTTATTTTTAGTTTCTGCATGATTAATCTCTGTTTATGATTGCACTAACTGCTTCATTGAGACAAATCTGCTGATTTCTTGCAAGTTTATGCTAGAATTTCGTTTGTTTACTTTTTACAGATTTCTTGCAAAAGAGAACAAAAGTACCTTATTATCACAAAAAGAAGTTGCTGGACCATTCCTGCAGGAAAAGTAATCAGACATTGGGGAATTTTTCTTAAAAAATGAGAAAAGCACGACGACTTGGTGATTTGTTTATCTGTTCCATTCATTGAATATCACAGTTGCGCTTCTAAACCCCTAATACACCGAATCCATTTCGATCTTTAGAACCCTGTATACAATCGTTGTTTTTATTTTGGTTTTCATCTTTATCACTCATTCCCACATTGGTCTGTGTTTCTCATTGACGACGGCGTTATTCAAATGGAACTTTGTAATCTAGCAGAACTTTTCATTCTGTGTTTTGTTTTGTAAAAAATCGGTGGTGCGGAACATTTGTAGCAATTTAATTTGTTTACACAACGAAGTAGAATTAAACGAAACGTTTTTTGTTAGCTTAAGCAATGGGCAATCAACAGACCAAAAAAGGTGGAGGTGATAATCTATTTACCGGCGAAGAATTGAAAATATTGGAAACATCCTTTCGCCTGGCCAATGGAGGAAATACGGAAAAAATTACCGAAAATAAATTGGTGGTAAGCAAGCAATATAAACAATGTTTTCCTGTGTGTTTTTGCATTGCATTGAATATTTGAATATGTAATCGAATACCATGAATGAAATGTTGATAAACAATACAAAGAAAAAAAGCTGGCTCAGTGTATTTTAGTTGCGGATCAATTGTCGTTGTCGTAATACGAAATTTCATAGTCATAAGACTCCTTTCCTTATATGCAGCGCGTCGTATTTTTATTTCTTTAGGGTATAACTTGGATTTTTCAATCGCCGCCGTGGTCGTCAGTCATATGTGTTTGTTGTTGTTGCTGGCATGGCTGGCTGATTGATGTGTGCAAAGCTTTCGCACGGCCATAAAGTTATGGGCTTGTTTATGTTGTTGATAGCGTGGATTGGGGTGGAACGGATATTATGGATACTCAAACTCCAAGTAAACAAAGGGCTCATTGGCCATTGCTAATTTCTTGGCATTAAATGCAAGACAATGGTGTGCACTTCAGCTGCCTTGCAGCGATAAGAGTAATCAATCGAGTTTTATCATTCGCTTGCATTTCAAGATTTGTATATTTAAACAGACAACAATTACATACCATGTCGTGCTTCAATGTAAACCGGTTTATTTTTGGCAGTCGTCAAACATAAATAGCCTTGGAAATCATTTGTCGTTGTCTTGATCTACGCATTATCTTTGCAGTATGAAGTTAGGGATTCACACAAAGAAAATTTTATTAGAAATCATGAACAGAAAGGAGAATAACCTTTCTTTGTTTGCATTTTTTTCATAAAATCTGGTTTCACACACAAGCAATTACATGGAAAAATTTGAAAAAATGGCTCTGTTCCAGTACATAAAAGATTCTACTAGTTTTAGAAATTTCTTTGATATCATAGAGGGAAAATCGGTTATCGTAGTAAAATTTTTTACATTGTTGTAGTTCTGGAGCAGACCAAAGGTATGGATTTTTAGGTAAAGGAGGCCGTGTTTTTCGCAGTTTCATGATACTTATTTCATGAAAGTACCCGTGTGTGGACCGTCGTCGTATTTAAGGTAGCTTTAGTGTCTTAACAGCATGTGTAATCAAATGAGATGTTGTTTTACATGAGAAGATTCTTATTCCAACAAATTTTCAAAATTAATGATTGGAAGAAACGTTCATTCCGGGCGCGCTTTGAAGATATTAACCAGTTTTGTTATGCACTTAAAAGATTCAACAGTTTGGATCATATTTATGAAAGAATATTGGGTATTTCATTCATAAATAATTACATTCCGTGTGGAATGTATAGGAGGCGAGGAAGACATATCACCACGGTTGAAATTCGAACCACTTGATATCCACATACTGATAGGAACGTCTGGACTCGTAACTCGTAGCAGTCTATACGGTTCTGAGATGCAATGTGTTTAATTCTGTCCAACTCTCATCAATGTAAGGCACAGGCTTATGGGGCGCAAATTATGTACGATCTGTTTTCATTCTGCAACATAGCCAAATATTAAAGTGCCTAAAGACGGCACGATAATCTCCCACTGGTGTATTACAAACTATTATGCCCTCACATGGTATATATCATTTGATACGGCCAAAACGTGTCTCATAGAAATAACGGTTTTAGAACCTAGGTCTCTTTGTACCAAATCCTCCAACACCCCAGAAAAAGGTCAACATTTTCAAAAAAAAATATTTTTTTGCACAGAAAGAGGAAGGATAATATGATTTTGGATATTCGTGAAGCTCATAAAACCCTAAATTAACATCTGATTCCATTCAGACATGACAGATCTTAATATTTCAACCAACACAAGATCAGTTATAAAGATGGTAAAGATCGGACCATTCCTTCTGGTACCTCCCCCACAAAGGGTAAAAGTTTTGAATAACCAAAACGACTATAAAATCCAAAATAAGCGTTGGATTCTCTTCAAATTACACACCTCACATTATTTTTAAAAACCCAAGGTCTTGTGTGAAGATTGGATATATCGGCCTGGTACCTCCCCCACAAAGGGTCAAATTTTTTCCGTGAAGCTCATAAAACAAGAAATTAATATCCGATTCAATTTGGACTTAGCACATCTCAATATTTCTATCTACACAAGATCTTTTATAAAGATGGTAGAGATCGGAACATTCCTTTTGGTACCTCCCCCAAAAAGGGTCAAAATATTGAATACCCATGAAGCCGTGGCATCAGAATAAATGCAGAATATTATCTCGAAAATATTCTGGAGGGTGTATTAAAGCCTTGGGCACGTAAACATTTTCGTCCCAAAGGTGACTAATCCAAACAAATCTAAACTTATTCCAAAATTTGATGCTATTTAGGACATTTTTTGGTTTCATTCAATAAAATTTAAAAAAAAAACATGTAAAAATTATGGGGTTTGACTTTGTTGCAGTTTTTTTATCTCAACCTGTATATATCATACATAGTCTATCCGAAATAAGCATTTTGTAAAAGCCTATACAAACATACAGTTTTTACGAAAATCTCCTCTAAGTATAGTATAGGATTTCACACAGTCGCCGCGTCCGATTTTTGTCTTTTCCTTTCTGGGTTTTTATGTTACTGAATGGAAGGAATTCCCTTAAAAAATCACCAAATTCATTCGACATCAATGTATTGCGTTGAAATTATTTCGATTTTACCCAATATTTGCACATTTTGAGTTTCCTTCCTCTTTTTTGTTTATTTTGATTTGTCGGCAACTGTGATTTGCTTTGTCGACGATGCCGTCGTCGTCGTTGACAGATAAGTTTTCCTTGCAAGTTCAAGACTACATACCTACCCGCCCGCTGTTCGTGTGTGTGTACAAATGGTCTAGTTCGCAGAGATAATAGGTATTATACAACTTTGACAGTGTATGCAGTTGTATGGAGAAGCAGCAAGCGAATAAACAAACGAAAAATAACGCTGACTATGATTAGTTAATAAAACATTTATTGAATAATTAACAACTCTATTGTATGTTCGGACTAAACTAAATAGAGGTACTTGATGGCATTTGAATGCCATTAATTTAGATAATTTATTTTATAATAAATTTTCAAATGCAAACGTGTGTCAGAATTAAGAATAGGGGGATTTCTGTAAACATGTGATTTTTTAATTGGGAGAAGTCTGGGAGATTTTGAGGAAAGGTATGAAAATGGATTTGTTGATGTGGTTTGTAGATCATATTTTCATTTCATTGCGGTCAAGGCCATTTTAATATGGACAGGAAGGAGACGTATTCGGGTCTTTATCCTCTCTCAATAGGTTTTCTGCGAAGTAAGAAAACTCACAATTATTTTTTAAAAAATAAATAAATATTTTTAAAATATTTTTAGTTATTTGAATTAAAAAAATAAATTGAATTTTTATGAAAAATAATAGCAAAAAATAAGGACAGCGAATAATGCGATTGGTCGGTCTGGTCTGCGAATGTAAGTGCTACGCAGTGGAAGAACATTCAGAACTGCCAGAATGCAGACCTTAGAACTGCAGCATGATGCCTCCCCATGACACTAGTGGATCACCCATATGAGGAGGCGAAAGTCCTTCTTGTACGTCAGCATAACCATTTGTACCTGTTTGGGTGTTATCGAGGAAGTCCTCGAAACCGTCATTTGGTGGATAAAATACCGCCAGCTAGGCGTATCAGTAAGGACGTTAGGGTGAGATAAAAAAAAAATGCAACAAAGTTAAACGCCATAATTTCTACATTTTATTTAACTTTTATTGAATGAATGCAAAAATATGTCGGAAATAGCATCAAATTTTAGAATATTTAGAATTTGTTCGAAATGGTCACCTTTGGCACGAATTATGGCCAATGAAACCGTCATAGGCTGCCCGAATGTTGGCCTGCTGTATTTTGGCCCATTTCCCAGCGAAGCGCTTGCTTGGGGTGATCGACACATTGGTATTTTTAGGGCTTTTGCTTTCCAAAATACTCCAGACACAATAGTCCAACGGATTGGTATTCGGAGATTTTGGTGCCCATTGTGCGCTGGAAATGAAGCGAGGAACCTCATTTTGTAACCATTCTTGGGTGGCGCGTGCTGAGGGCGATGGTGCTGAATCCTGTTGGAATGTCCAAGGACTGTGGCCAAAATGTTTTCCTGCCCAAGAATATTTTCGCGATAATATTCGGCATTTATTCTGATGCCATAGTTGATAAATACGAGCGGAGAGCGACCATCGGCTGTTATGGCGGCTCACACCATTACCATGGCCGGCGCTTGAGTTCTGGTGGCCAACAGAAGGTGCACATTTTCAGCTGACCTCTTTGGCAAGTAAACACGATCATTTTGTTTGTTTATAAATTGCTGGACAACGGATGTTTTCTCATCAGAGAAACCCAAATTTGACAGTTCACCACTTTCACCACTTTTCGAGCGAAGTAACTCTTTAGCTCTTTGAGTCTATTTTCTTTCTGTTGTGTTGTAAGTCTTCTTGCACTTTTTGGAGTTTCAATGGCGTTACCCCGAGCTCATTTTTCAATATTTGCCGAATGGAATATTGCGATATGTTCAGCTCACGAGTCATTTTTTGGCCACTGTGAGCTGGGTTTCGATCAAGTTGCTTCATTTCTTTTAGAACCATTTCTGCTTATGGTGCTGTTTTCTTCCGTCTACTTCCCTGACGTCGGGCTACATTACCATTATCACGGTAACGAGCGATGGTACGAGACACAAAAGATTTATTCACATTTAAATGCTGGAGTGCTCTGGGGATAGCCACTTGTGGTTTTCCAGCCAAATATAAAGAAATCACACTATCATGCTTGAATTCCATTACGAAAAACTTTTTTTCTGGAAAATTATCACGATAATGCTTTTGTACGCTTGTAAACAATATAATGAGCTGGCACTGGAATAATTTTAACAGCTGTCGGACGAGTGGCTTAGAAATGACAGCAGTCTGAAATTAGTTGCAGTTTTTTCATCTCACCCTGTATTCCTTGTCGAATTTTTGGTGAAATAATGTCTTAACAATTTAATTAAAATCCTTTTTTTTATTTTGCTTACTTTCAGGAATCATGGTCATCAATCATTGATAAAAATCTAGCTCAGTTCACAGCAAATTTTCTCTTTACCCAAACGCCGCAGTCGACGCCACAAAAGACCCTCACACATCATCATTCACAGCATATTGGTACCATAACATTTCGCAAATATGCAGAACCCTACTACATTGTTGAACGGGGTACAATTGATGAACAGATACATTTTATTCAGACCTCGTTGAATAATAGATCTACAGAGGATGTTGATTTGAAACAACTTGAAATGGTGAGAGTATTTTACCTCCCTGATTTTGAATAAAAACCCTAATTGTGGTATCTTCCTTTTCAGTACATTACCGCATTACTACTCAGCTATTTGCACATGTTGAAATCCCAAAATACCCCTGCATTTGAGTCATGGCACAAATTCGGCTATCACTGTAATGATCGTTCGGCTCAGTGTTTTGCCAAGGGCTTGGTAAGGCATCTATGCAAAAAGGATTCGGATTCCACAGCCTCCACAAGTGATTTGGAAAAGTGGCTGCAGGTCAATCCCACGTTTCTGATTATATGGCGTTGTGTTTTCTCATATCTATATGGTTATGCGGGCAATGGGAAAATCAGTAAATTGGGTAATCCACCCAGCAGTCAAATTCTGCCAATGCAGGAAGGTTTGTAATCTCAAACAATATGAACAAATATTGATTAATTATTCCTCTTTTAAATACAGGTTTACCCTTTGGCACCAACTATTCCCCCATGCTGGATATACCCCATGTTATATTTGTAAATAGCAATGTGCCTGTGGATCTGCAACACAAGTGGCGTTTTTTGTTCTCCTCAAAAATTATGGGTGAAAGTTTTTCCACAATGTTGGGAAAATTGCTGAAAAAGGGACCAACCCTATTGGTAGTTGAAGACGAGGATCATTATATTTTTGCGGGTTATGCACCGCATTCATGGGCAATGGGTCCAAATTTTATAGGTATGACATTTTTAATATAACTATATATGGTCTGTTTCTCCAAAACGAACCAAACAAATATAATGTTGAGTTCTTTTTAATAATCAGATTATTAATTCCCATCATGTATTTGAAAATTGCAAGAAGAAAATGGGACCTGTTCCTGTATGACAATACAAAGGAATTGCGGTTTTGAAGCTTCTGATTAAATAGAGAAAATCTAAAATTTGAAATTTTTGATTGGCAATATCGGTCCACTCCTTCTGGTACCTCCCCCACAATATGTCAACATTTTCAAATAAAATAATTTACTGCACAGAAAGTGAGAGGGTAATCCGATTTTGCTCGGACTTTACAAATCCTAATATTTGCATCAGTGCTAGGTCAGGTGCGAAAATGGATAATATCGGTCCACTCAATCAAGTCCATTTCTTCTGGTAACTCTCCCACAAAGGGTCAGAATTTTGAATATCCATGAAACTCATACAACGCGAATTTAACATCCGATTTTATTCAGACTTGGCATATCTTAATATTTCCATCAACACAGGACCTCTTATAAAGATGGTAGAGATCGGACCATTTCTTCTGGTAACTCCCTCACAAAGGGTCAAAGTTTTGAATAACCAAAACGATTTTAAAATCCGTTCTCTTCAAATTACACACATTGCAATATTTTTATTGGCCCAAGGTCTGGTGTGATGATGGAATATATCGGTCAACTCCTTCTGGTACTTCCCTTACAAAGTGTCAAAATTTTAAATATCCACGAAGCTCATAAAACGCGAAATTAACATCGGATTTTATTCACACTTGGCATATCTCAATATTTCCATCAACACAAAATCTGTTATAAAGATGGTAGAGATTGGAACATTTCTTCTGGTACCTCCCCCACAAAGGGTCTAAGTTTTGAATAACCAAAACGATTTTAAAATCCAAAAATAAGTCAACCGGACTTCATATTACACACATCACAATATTTTTATTAACCCACGGTCTGATGTGAATATGGAATATATCGGTTCATCCCTTCTGGTACCTCCCCCACAAAGGATCAAAATTTTGAATGTTCATGAAGCTCGTAAAACGGGAAATTAACATCGGATTCCATTAAATCTATTATATTACATATTTTATTTTCCATCAACACAAGATCTGTTATATAGATGGAAGAGATCGGACCATTTCTACATCCCCCACATAGGGTTCAAGATTTTGAAAAACGCTCAAAGAAAGCGAAATGAACATCCAACTCTCTTAAAATTTCACACATCTAAATATGTATTTCTCTAAACCAGAAATCTTATATGAATATGTAATTTATCGAAATATATGATTTCGCATAAAGTTTTATATAAATGTTTGATTTCCTTCAAATTTTGCATATACCAATATTTTTATAACCGACTGATACTATTTACTTGTTCTTCTACCATATAAAGGATTAATTCGTATCGTTACACAGAAACATTCCCCAATATTTTGTGTCTAAAAATTTACTCCTTACGACTTCTGGACAATTCATGAAACCAATTTCTTTCTAGGTGATGATAGCGCCATGCTTTTTACTTTAAGTCCTGCCATGCGTTGTTTTAATACCACCGGTTACAACGATCATTATCAGTATTTGAATTTGGGCCAGCAGACAATGCCCAATGGTTTGGTAAGTAGAATTACTAAGAATACATTTCCAAAAGTATTTCTTCATAAAGAAAACTATTCCCTACTATGTTTTAGAACATAAAACATATCTTTTCAAATTTAATTTTAAAATTTTGTTCTTCATTACCTTTATAGGGTATGGGTGGCCAATTCGGCTACTGGGGCCTTTGGCTAGACTGTGAATACGGTATCGGACAGAGTTGTGAAAGCTGTACCACATTCAAAGATTACAATCAGCTGAGTAAGCGTAAAGATTTTCGTATTAGAAATTTGGAAGTTTGGGGTATTGGTGATGAGCCCAAGCAAGGCGATGACAGTGATGAGGAGGGAGATGTAAGCCCAATATTCACTTCTTCCCTATAAATATATGCTATTTATTATTTATTTTTCACTTTTAGGGCACCAATAAACGCTCAATTTTGGATAAAAATCTAGAAGATCGTGTTATGTTGGAGTTGTCGGGTCGCAATATGCATTCGGATGGATTAAGAGAACCCGAATTGGATTTATAATTTTATGTAAACTCGCAAATTGTTCCTGTTTTGTTATTATTTTTTTATTTGTTTCATATCCCATTTTATTTTGCAAAAAAGTAGTATATTTTTTAAACAAAGACAATAACGCCTAGTTGCGTGTATTTGCTATTTGATGAGATAGTTTTTATTCCTCAATATATTATTAATCTTTAAAAGATTTTCTAGCCTTATAGAGTCATTCCCTTAGATATATCTACATATACATACATACATATATATAAATTATAAACAAAATTGGAATTCCAAATTATATCATTACGAACACAAGCTAAAAGCAATTTTTGTACAATTTGAAACAACAACAAAAAACAGGGAAACTAAAATGTTTTTTTGGATACACGACTGAAATGAAAAATGCATGTATATTTAGATTTTTAGTTACTCTCAAACTGTGGGTTATTCCATAGAATAGCCTACTATGATGATAATGAAGAACGATATGTTGTATTCAATTTTGTCATAAAAAATTAATTTCATTTAGATTGACCAATATTTCTACTCGTTCCTTGCTGCGTTCTTTAGTTCACTACGGTCCACAATGAGTCTATATACGATTAATGGAACTAATATATCTATATTATACCTATAGTTATTTTCAATAAAGATAAATACTCTTAAATATTTAAATTATTTGATGCATTTTTATATTTACTTGAAGTTTTGATTTGTACTTATAAACCATGATATTGTGATATATATAGTAGAACAAAAATGGATTTCATCAAAATCATTTTAAAATATTAATTCATAGTAGTCTCCGAATAGAATTTTGGAAATGTATACATTTTTTCTTTAAATTTCCATAAAAAAGAAAAAAAAAAAGAAAACAAAAAATAACAATATCAAACGCCGAGTATCAACCGTAACTGGAGAAACCAGACGATGTCAACAAAATATCAGTGTTGTCAATAGAATATAAAAAACGTTAAGATGAACTGAATGACAACAATTTTCTTATTGTGAAGTATAGAATTTTTTAATGGGCTAGACAAAAATTACGGAATTTAATAAGAGGATGATCTACGATTTAAAAAAATATAAACTAACATTAAAATAATGTTGAAAAAGGACCATATCATAGAACATCGTGGACAAATGTATGTGCAATTTCTTTATATATGCGATTATTATCAAGGATTTCAACCATAATTTTTAAGGAATAAATCTGAACTACTCGGTCGGTGATTCGCTTAGGAGCAAATATTGAATTGAATGGACGCTACAATCGAAGAGGTAAGGCTATCTGAAGCATATGTACAAATAAGTAATAAAACAGACAGATCGCAAGCCTATTTATTTATACTGTGACATGTTTACCTCGACTTCCGTTCAATTAAATGCCTAAAAAATACATAACTAAGTTGGAAACTGTGATATTTTTGGATTGAGAGTAATCTGTATATTTTAGTTATATAGTATTTTCGGCAATATATGGGGGAAATTCTCTCAATAACTAAAATAAGGAGGCATTTTTACATAAATATGCTTAACAAAATATTCAACTTCTATAATAAAAAAAATGTTAAAAAATAAAAAAAATATGTTCAGAAAAAATATTTAATATCTTTTAAAATGTTTTGTCAAAATAAGTACATTTTTATATGTTTTCTTATACGACGCAAATCGGAGGTTGTTATAATATGCATTTTTCAACAATTTTTACAAATTTCAATAATGCGACTACCTGCATTCTTCTACCATGATACCTTCATAAAGACCGAAATAAACTTTTAGTTTATTAACGGCTATAATAGTATGTTTACACACAATTTTTTGAACATTGACAAATTATCATTCGCAATAAGTTTAAATATTGAACACATACGATATTTTCGCCCATTTACTGAATGATATTTTTTTGGGTTTTTAATTCTATGAAAATTCTTTGAAAATTTTAATTATTTAAAAATTCTGCTTAAATTTATAAAAGCTATTATATTTTATGCCCTAGCTTACACACATGGCAGAAGAATACAGGTAGATGCATCAACGCTTGGGGGCATTGATATGTCAAAAAATTTAAATGTTTTTTCAAATATAAATAGATTTTTATATGTTTTCTTATACTACGTCATTCGGAGGCTATTATAATTTGCGTTTTTCAACAATTTTTACAAATTTAAATAATTTTTCATTCAACATTTTCAATTCCAAAATTGGTTTGATAGTTCATTGTCCCAGCAGCTGCGTCGACGCGTCTACCTATATTCTTCTACCATGCTTACACATGTTCATGAAACTTAAGTTCAAGTATGTTAATGCTGATCATTGACCTTTTTAAATAAATTTGTCATTGTCAATATATTATCTCCTTTTTTAAACTGGCGTTCTTAAGCAAATGTAGTATTAGCAACACTATTACACTTGCTCGTGTATTCCTTCAGTTGTCAACAATTTTAACTGTCGGCCGGTCGATTTCGCGTTCGTTAATCGCAAATGCTTAATTTAAAGAAATGCATATGTTTATAAATTATGAAATAACATAACGTATGTTAATTTAATACATTTAAAACAAAATAATAGTGAAATGCAAACATTTTCGTTTGTTATTTAAAATTTTAATTTAATTTTTGCTTTGCAAAGTGGTGCCGGTGCTCCTTTGCTTACGTTTTTTTGTTGAGTGAATCGTGTCGTGCAATTGCTGAGAGTCGGTTATTCGACTCAGTTTAATTTTTATCTTTGTTTTGTTGCGTAACATCGTAAATGATTTATTTAAAACAAATATTAAGCTAACCATACTGCAAATATGGTAAAATAAATGAATGTAAATAAATAATGCACCAATTATACAAAATAATAACGAAATTCAGGTCTCCCCTTTGAAATTGATCAAAACAAAAATCTAATAAGAAAAGTTGCGATTTTCAGCTTAGATGCGGGTTTTAGCTAACTTAATATTGACAGCACCTATTTGTTGTTTCTTCAGTTGTCAATAATTTAAAATGCCGGTCGGTCGTGTCTAGTGCTCGTTAATCGCAAATGTTTAATTTAAAAAGAAAAAATAAATTATAAATAATAACAAGTATAAAATATGTAAATTTAATATGTATAAAACGAAATATACAAGTGTTTTCGTTAGTAATTTGTTATAAAATTGAACTTCTTTTTCACTTTGCAAAAGGGTTTACCTGTTGTTGTCTCTGTGCTTATAAGTCGTTGATGAGAAGAGAGAATCAAATGATTTTGTTGTCGGCCAATTGTTGCTCGGCCTAAAATTGCTCTTCCTTCAGTTGTCAATGATTTAAAATGCCGGTCGGTCGTGTCTAGAGCTCGTTAATTTTAAAGATAAAATTGAATTATAAATAATAAAAAGTATAAAATATGCAAATTTAATATGTATAAAACAAAATACTAGTGAAATGCAAGTGTTTTCCTTTGTAATTTATTATAAAATCGAACTTCTTTTCCACTTTGCAAAAGGCTTATGCTTGTTGTTGTGCTTTTGGTTTTAAGTGGTTGATGAGAAGAGAGAATCAAATGCTTTTGTTGTCGGTCAGTTGTTTCACGGTTTAAAATTGCTCTTCCTTCAGTTGTCAACAATTTTAAAAGCCGGTCGGTCGTGTTCAGTGCTCAGTAATCGTAAACGTTTAATTTAAAGGAATAAAATAATTATAAACAGTAAAAAGTATAAAATATGTTAATTTAATGCATATAAAACAAAATGCTAGTGAAATGCAAGTATTTTCGTTTGTAATTTATTAAAAAAATCGAACTTCTTTTCCGCTTCAATAAAAGGGGTATAGCTGTTATTGTCTCTGTGCTTATAAGCAGGGGTGCTCAAGAAGAAATATCTGTTTTCAGTCAAATTTCTCTTTGCTTATTAAAATCGAGAACAAAATAGTGTTAAGTCATTATTTATACAAATATTTTTTATCCATTTGCTTTATAAACTATTTTGGCAAACATTCGTGTTTAAAAACAATTAAATAGAACAGTAAAATATAAAGAAAAACAGAATTTTAATTTTCTCTTAAATTATCTCTTTTTTCTCTTCATGTTCTAGAACACGGTTTTGAGCACCCCTGTTATAAGTCTATGATGAGAAGAGAGAATCAAATGCTTTTGTTGTCGGTCAGTTGTGGCTCGGTTTAAACTTGCTCTTCCATCAGTTGCCAATAACTTTAAATTTCGTGTCGGTCGTGTCTAGTGCTCGGTAATTAAAAACGTTTAATTTAAAATAAATATTTAGCTACAAATAGAAAAAAGCATAAAATATATTATTTAAATACGTACATAACAAAATAATAGTGAAACGCAAAGTTTTCGTTTGATATTTACCAAAAAAAAATATTTATTTTTCACTTTACAAAAGTTCGTACTTGTTCTTTTCCCTTTGCTCGTGAGTAGTACATAAGAAAGGAGAAGCATCTGTTTTTGTCGTCGGTCGGTCGGTTGCTTTATTCGGTTTAAAATTGATCTCTGTCGGTTGTGTGATGAAATAATTGTTATAAGATAGAATAAATGTCTTTAAAAATTGGCAAGGCCTTAAAAATGGAGCCGTTCAAATTTTTTTAAATTTTTATAAATGATTGCCAAAGTAAATGAGCCATTGAGCCCACTTTTAGTCAAGTTAGTGCTATTGTTGAAATTGAAAAAGAATGTATGAGAAAGAAAAAATATAAATTTGTTTCTGGTCATGATATGTTGTGTTTTCGGTCGGTTTCTTTATATATTGATGCTTTAATACTTCGCTGGAGTTTTTTATAGCAAATATTTGTTATTCATGGTTTTTAAAGTTGTAACACGGAATCAACGTAAAGTTCAAAAAGGTAAGTTGGCTTAAATAACACAGTCATTAACAAACTTGTGAGGTTTTCTCTGGCATTTCATTCCTCTCTACTTTAAAACTGAAATAAGACAGACAAAATGAACCTTTCAGCGATTTTGGAGCAAACCAAGTGTTAACAACACTTACTTGCTCATTCTTCAGTTGTCAAAAGTTTAAATGCCGGTCGGTCGTGTTCAGTGCTCGTTAATCGTAAATGTTTAATTTAAAATAAAAAATGTATTTTAAGTAATAAAAAGTATAAAATATGTACATTTAATATGTACAAAACAAAATACTAGCGAAATACAAATGTTTTCGTTTGTAATTCATTATAAAATAAAACTTATTTTTCACTTTGCAAAAGGCTTATGTTTGCTGTTGTTCTTTTGCTTATGAGTAGAAGATGAGAAGAGAGAATCAAATGTTTTTGTTGTCGGTCAGTTGTGGCTCGGTTTAAAATTGCTCTTCCTTCATTGTCGATAATTTTAAATATCGGTCGGTCGTGTCTAGTGCTCGTTAATCGCAAACGTTTTATTTTAAAGATACAAATGAATTATAAATAATAAAAAGTATAAGAAATGTATGTAAGAAATATTAATGAAATGCAAGTGTATTCGTTTGTAGTTTATTATAAAATCGAACTTCTTTTCCACTTTGCAAAAGAGTAATACTTGTTGTTGTCTCTGTGCTTATAAGTCGTTGATAAAAAGAGAGAATCAAATGCTTTTGTTTTCGGTCAATTGTTGCTCGGCCTAAAATTGCTCTTCCTTCAGTTGACAAAACTTTAAATGGATGTCGGTCGTGTCTACTGCTCGTTAATCGTAAATGTTTAATTTAAAATTAAAAAATTAATTATAAATAATAAAAGTATAAAATATGTAAATTTAATATGTATAAAGCAAAATAAATGCAAGTGCTTTTCTTTGTAATATAAAATCGGACTTTATTTAAAGGGTAATGTTTTTTGTTGTTCTTTTGCTTATGAATAGAAGATGTGAAGAGAGAATCAAATGCTTTTGTTGTCGGTCAGTTGTGGCTCGGTTTATAATTGCTCTTAATCAGCACTGCTCAAGAAAAAATATCTCGTTCCTGCCAAATTTCTCTTTGCCTATTTAAATCACGAACAAAACAGTGTTAAGTCATTATTTATACAAATATTTTTTATCCATTTGCATTAAAAAATTTTTGGCAAACATTCATGTTTAAAAACTATTAAATGGAATCGTAAAATAAATAAAAAAATGAAATTTAATTTTCTCTTAAATTATATCTTTTTTCGGCTCAAGTTCCAAAATACGGTTTTGAGCATTTTCAATAATTTTAAATCTCGGTCGGTCGTGTCTATTGCTTGCCAAAGTTTAATTTAAACGAAAAAAACTTATTATAAATAATAAAAAGTAAAATAAATTTAAATTAATGTAAGTGTTTCCTTTAATTTATTGTAAAATCGAACTCCTTTGTCCCTTTACAAATGGGTTATACTTGTTGGTTGTCTCGTTACATATGAGTAGCAGCAGAGAGAATAGAGAACTTTTGACGTCGGCCAGATGTTGATCGGTTTGAAATTGCTCTTTCTTCAGTTGTCAATAATATTAAATGTCAGTCAGTCGTGTCTTGCACTCGGTAATGGAAAACGGTTAATTAAAAACAAGTTAAAAAGCAGTAAGTTCGGCCGGGCCGAACTTTTAATACCCTCCACCATTTACAACGAATTTGGAAATTTTCAAAAAATAAAATCCTTAACAAATTCTGTTAAAATTTTAAAAATACCGAATATAGCCGTTATATTGGGGTCTATACGACGTGGACATACATATGCATTGTTTGTCATAAGCCATTACCATATTCAAATTCGAAACTGGACCCGCACCGACAATTTTCTGTCACAGACTGTAGTTCCCATAACGAACTTCAAATACCAAATTTTAAACAATTCCGGTTAATAATGTCGCTAAAATCATCAAAATACCGAATATAGGGAGGTACCGTTATATTGGGGCTATACGAAGACCAGGACCTGCAAAGACAATTTTCTGTCTTAGGGTGTAGTATCCATTTGGAACTTCAAATACCAGATTTGAAACAATTCCCGTGAAAAATGTCGCTAAAATCATCAAAATACCGAATATCGGGAGGTACCGTTATATGGGGGCTATACGAAGACATAGACTTGCACAGACAATTTTCTATCTTAGGGTGTAGTATCCATTTGGAACTTCAAATACCAATTTTGAAACAATTCCGGTGAATAACGTCGCTAAAATCATCAAAATACCGAATATCCGGAGGTACCGTTATATGGGAGCTATATGAAAACGTGGACCTACATGGCTCATTTACGAACTTAACCTGCCTACTGGAAAAATAAACATGTGTGCAAAATTTTAGTCATCTATCTCAATTTATTCGAAAGATAGCGTGATTACAACAGACAGACAGACAGACGGACAGACAGACAGACAGACAGACAGACGGACAGACAGACAGACGGACATCGCTAAATCGACTTAGAATTTTACGCTGATCAAGAATATATATACTTTGTTGGGTCTGACATGAGTATTTCGAGGAGTTACAAACGGAATGACAAAGTTAATATACCCTCCATAGTATGGTGGAGGGTATAATAATTATACGCAATGAAAGGTGTAAAACATGTTGTAAAGTAATAAAATATAAAGAACATAAAATGTGTTTTTTATTTAATGCATACAAAAAAAAAAAAAAAAAACAAAAAAAAAAGAAATAATAATAATAATAATAATAATAAATAAATAAATAGATAAAAAATAAAAAAAATTATACTGAAAATTCAAGTGTTGTCCCATTGCTTATAAGTAGTAGATAAGAGAATTGGAAGATGTTATTGTCTATGGTCGGTTGCTCGGCTCGGTTTAAAATTCTGTTATACATCAATTAAACCCAGTAGGTAAACCCTACAGAAAGCTTCAGTGTAAACATACAATAAGAAAGGAATGTTACATTTTTAACAAATTTTACCATGAAACCAAGGTCGTCATCAAAATGGTAAGATTCTATTTTTAGTGATTTTTCATTTGCTGGTGATTTTTAGACAACTTAGTACTGGCAGCACTGCTGCTGTTGTTTGTTTCCCCTTAAGTTGTCTGTTATTTTAAACTTCGTCTCTTAGCAGTTTTTTTTTTAAACGTTAATGTTCTAATTTGAGAGACAAGTCTGATATAAAGGTTATACAATTTGGGGATTTTTTTTTTATTTTGCTCACATAAAATGGAATCATTTGGAAATTAAAGTGTATTTTTTTTAATATTGTAAAACATGCATTCTCTGGCATTCCCTTTTCTTGAGCGTAGTTACGAAGGAATCACAAAAAACATATATACGCAATTTTATCCGTGCATAAATGTTTCAATTTTGGCTCAGCGTAGGCATACCCATACCCAGATGTTCGGGACTACTGTAATGTCACATGTGTTTACTATTAACGTTTTCTTTTAACAAAACAATTTTTTTTTTTAATTTTATTTCCTTGCAATTATTATTATTAATTCTTAAATTCTTTATTGAAAACTATTAAAATATGAATTTCATTTATTTGCTTCTTACACTCTACAGTCGGGTGGTTGGTTTCTTTACTAATAAGGTAGAATTTTCTGGAAAACCATACGATTTTCTTTTGTCTTAAATATCAAAAGCATCACCGGTAAATGTCACTTCCGAGTTATCAGCCTCTGCATAATTGTTGCTTGTATCTTCATAGGATGAGGTTGCCTGTTGTTGACTACGTCCACCGAATTTGCTGGCTCCACCGTACTGTGTGCCCTCATCAAACTTTCTACCGGTGGGACGTAGTTTGGGAGGTTGGAAAGTCTGTTGGCTATTCGAATTGAAATCGTAATTTGTGGTGTTGGCATCGTTGCGATTGTAATTTGTTTTACGTAGCATCGCCTTGAAATTATAGGGTGCGTCCTCGGTGTCCTAAAAGAGAAGCAGACAATATTCATTTCTGATTTTTTACTGTTTTTTAAGAGAACTTACCCCATAATCACCACGATTACCCATCATGTTTTGTAGTTCTTGTACAGGATTTTGCGACACTGGAGGATAAGAATTGCGCATATTATTCTGTTGTCTATTGGGCTGATACATATTGGGTGGCATTGGCGGAGGTGGTGGTGCTGGGTAGCCCTTTAAACTGTTACGCCTCGACCCCCAACGTTGTGGTTGTGAATTGTAATTATTGGGATTATAATAGGAATTATAATTCGGATTGTAATTGTTCATTTGCATTTGAACTTGGTTTCTAAAAAAAAAAAGGAAATACATTAGAATAACGGAATAGCATAGTTTCATTCTGAATTTACCTTCTCATTATATGCGGATCACGATAGAAATTCTGATTATAAATTACATCACTCTCTCCCATACGATCCCAGTTGGTCTGGCAAGCCTGTTCCTTTTTGTAGGCATTATAGGTCAATAATTGTGATGTCATCGATGGGTTCCTTTGCAATGGACTATCCCAGGCTTCTTCGTCGTACATATTGTTCATTACTGTTGAAGTCGAGGGTATGGATTGTCGTGCCAAGGAATTTGCTGGATCCACCATATATTGTGTGTCGTAGAATGGAATTTGATCCAAACGTATGGGAATTTTTCGTACCGCCACCTGTAATATAAAAATTGAGAAATGTTTAAAAAAGGTAAATAGTATTTCAGAATAGTCATAAATATACCGGCATTGGTCCCAATTGGGCTGAGTTCACTTCTCTGGTATTAATGCGATCAAATGGCACTGCCCGAGTACATTTATTCAGACCAGCAACAACACGCTGATTGTAAATGTGGACCTGTAATTTAGTAATGTGGAGAAAAAACATATTATAATGTTTGAAAAATTTTAGGAAACTATTTAAAAAACAAGACATAACAATTCTGAAAACCTCACAAGAAATTAAAAGATCTTGCTTTGCTTGTTTAAGAGAAAATTTCATTCGAAAGCGAGTATATTGTACTCTTGTCGAGTACTCTTTTTTTTTGTTATATCGTTGTTGTAATTCTATATATGCATACATATTTTTTCAAACCACAAACGCTCTTAGAGCAAATTCTCACTTTATTTCGAGCGAATCGGGCTCACTTTAATTTTTAAAAAAATAGTAACTCGAGAGCGCTCTTACACAAAAAAAGAAAAAAAATCTATTGGAGAATACTCCGAGCAATCCCACCCACGAACAAGTTGCACTGCCGAGTGAAAACGAGCAATTCTGTTCTCTGACTGCTCTTAATCTAAATGCCGACTTCTGCGTGGATTAAAATATTTAAAGCCCCAAACTTATAAAAAGTTTGTGATAACTGGAAGTTGACCAGGGGTTTTCGATACCTGCCAAAATAGGTGCAAATAAAAACTGTTTGTGTGAAATACATCCCAATATTTTTGTTTACATAAAATCTGGTGTGAAGATAGGATATATCGGCTCAATCCTTCTGGTACCTTCCCACAACGGGTCAACATTTCAAATAACCATAAAGCTCATAAAACACGAAATGGGCACCCTATTCTGATTGGTATTGGGCACATTTCAATATTTCTATCAGTACAAGATCTAGTGTGAAGATGGAATGCATCGAACTAGTCCTTCTGGTACCTCCTCCACAATGAAGTTCATACTTCAAATAACCAAAACCCTCATAAAATTCGAAATATGCATTCGATTTTCTTTAAATTTCACACATCGCTATATTTTTTGTTAACACAAGATCTAGTGTAACGATAATATCTATCGGCATATTCCTTCCGGTACTACCCCCACAAAGGGTAACCATTTTCAATACTTATATCTCTCATGACTTGCGAAGTTTAGATTTTTTTCTACCATGGTATATCTAAATAATTCCCTGATTCTAGTACCTCCCCCTCAACTGGGTCAAAAAAATCGCCTATAAAAGCGAAATAAGATGGGACGTATCTGTCCACCTATTCTAGTATTCTCCTTCACCAAATAAGCATATGATTCCTTCTAAAATTCGGACATTCCAATATTTATGCTAACACGAGATCTGGTAGATCTGAAGATAGAAGATATCGGTCCACCCCTTCTGGTACCTCCCCCACAAAGGGTCAAGATTTTTATAATTTTCTTTTCAAATTTAACATATCTCAATATTTTTATTAACAAAAAATCTGGTGTGAAAATGGGATATATCGGTCCAGCCCTTCTGGTACCTCCACCACAAAGGGTCATTTTTCGTATAGCTGTCATAACTTGCGAAACAAGTCAGCAATTTTTTCAAACTTAGTATATCTAAATATTGCTATTAACCAGAGGTATTATGTGATGAAAATCATCCTCCCCACAAAGGTTACAATTTTGATCAACAATTATTCGAAAATAAATATTGGATTTTTTTTTAAATTTCGCTAATCCAAATATTTATATCATTATTTGATGGAGTGTAATACTTTAGTCCACTATATGTGGTACCTCAAGCACATTTCAATATTTTCCAAAAATTATCACGTATCTTGTATAAAGTGAAGGAGGTAGTCCATATAGACTTAGTCGGATACGAAATGGACTATATTGGTCCAGTCCTTTGGAACCTCCCCAACGAAGGATTAAAAGTTTGAAAAATCATAACAAAAGTTAAAGCTGTTAAAAAATTAACATTGGCTGAGGGTATACATCTGTTCGCACATCTGATGCATACTTTTATACCCTCCACCATACTATGGAGGGTATATTAACTTTGTCATTCCGTTTGTAACTCCTCGAAATACTCATGTCAGACCCAACAAAGTATATATATTCTTGATCAGCGTAAAATTCTAAGTCGATTTAGCGATGTCCGTCTGTCTGTCTGTCTGTCTGTCTGTCCGTCTGTCTGTCTGTCTGTCTGTCTGTCTGTCCGTCTGTCTGTCTGTCTGTTGTAATCACGCTATCTTTCGAATAAATTGAGATAGATGACTAAAATTTTGCACACATGTTTATTTTTCCAGTAGGCAGGTTAAGTTCGTAAATGAGCCATGTAGGTCCACGTTTTCATGTAGCTCCCATATAACGGTACCTCCGGATATTCGGTATTTTGATGATTTTAGCGACGTTATTCACCGGAATTGTTTCAAAATTGGTATTTGAAGTTCCAAATGGATACTACACCCTAAGATAGAAAATTGTCTGTGCAAGTCTATGTCTTCGTATAGCCCCCATATAACGGTACCTCCCGATATTCGGTATTTTGATGATTTTAGCGACATTTTTCACGGGAATTGTTTCAAATCTGGTATTTGAAGTTCCAAATGGATACTACACCCTAAGACAGAAAATTGTCTTTGCAGGTCCTGGTCTTCGTATAGCCCCAATATAACGGTACCTCCCTATATTCGGTATTTTGATGATTTTAGCGACATTATTAACCGGAATTGTTTAAAATTTGGTATTTGAAGTTCGTTATGGGAACTACAGTCTGTGACAGAAAATTGTCGGTGCGGGTCCAGTTTCGAATTTGAATATGGTAATGGCTTATGACAAACAATGCATATGTATGTCCACGTCGTATAGACCCCAATATAACGGCTATATTCGGTATTTTTAAAATTTTAACAGAATTTGTTAAGGATTTTATTTTTTGAAAATTTCCAAATTCGTTGTAAATGGTGGAGGGTATTAAAAGTTCGGCCCGGCCGAACTTACTGCTTTTTAACTTGTTTAACTTGTTTTTTTTTTATTTCTTGCATATGATATGAATCACTCACTGAAATCAGACAAAAATGCAATTATGATTGATAATAATGCAAAAGTATAAGCAGGCACTCACCTGTTGGCATAGGTTAACAAATTCTTGAAACTTGGCTGCACGATAATGCAATAAGACCTGGAACAATGATTTCTCCCGCCATTTGCGTACATAGTGTCGAATAAATTCAGCTGTCTCTTGATTCACTTGTCCATTCTTGTCCACCAAAGGTTGGAAACGCGCTTTACCACCACGGTAGTCACGGTAAGCTGAAAAGACACAACAAGAACAAAAAAAATGAAATGAATAAAACGCATTTTTAGTTAAATAAACTTTGATGTAGTGTTATAGAATGGTGGAAACAAGAAAAGAGGCAATAATCTGCTCTGCACTGCACTCGGCGACAATGTTTGAAAAACACGGGTCAAGGTTTTTATGCGGTTGATGGCGTCATAAGGCGCTAATTTAATTAATTTTTCATTTATTTTCTATACATTCACACCTTTTGAATTGTTCGCAAGGGGATGACATGTGCTCAAGAGGGGGCGCGCTAGAATAAGGGACGGTAAATTGATATGACAAATTTGTCATATCAAGGTTTTCGGTGTTAGAAAACAATTTTTATCGTCCCCATTACATGGAGAGAGAGAGTTGCCAGTATTTCCAACCCCGTTTGGACCCTGTTCTTTTTTTCCATAAGGCGAAATGTGCAGAGCTTTTGATGTTATTAGAAAGATTGAAACGTAGTGTTTTCTCAAATTTATTTGGAACAAAATTAAATATATATGTTTTAGATATTAGTATGTGTTTGTTTTTGTTTTCTCTTACTAAATGTTAAGTATATTTATGCATATTCGGATTGATTGATAGATATTTCTCAAATCTCGTTATAAATGTAGGACGTTGAAAATACGTCATAAGTGTAGCGAACGAGCACATCGTTTCGTTTTCTTACTCGTCTTCTTGATCGAAAATCATGCTTTCGCGCTGAGATATGCGTGCAGCAGACAAGGCCTCCTCTTTGCGAGATTCTTCGAAATTATCCTCGGCCTCTGAGGGGGTTTCACTAACGTCTACATACTCAACATCTACACCAAGATATTGATTATTACCTTTTTGTATTTTAGCGGCAGCAACATCGAGGGTACCAGGAGCTTTACCTAGAGGAAGAGGAAGAATAGATTTATATACATTTATATATTTTCAATTGTAATATTCAAGGCACATACCTGCTTCTGGTTTTCCCCCGGTTTTGACACGTTTTCTAGCCAATAGGGCACGAATCATCGATTGGACCTTAATGATTTTCTTTACTTGGGTTTCGTACAATCTGAAATGTAAATATTGGGGTTTATGATTTCAAATAAGCAGTGTTTGAGTATGTCTTTATCAGAAAAAAATGTTTCCTATACTAAGCGAAAAATTGGGCCTTAAGGGCCCACTTGGTCAAAATATTGGCAAAGCTCTTATTTAAACGTTTTTGCGCGTTTAAGGGCCTTGAAAGATCTGAATTGCGATTTTTTTTTAATTTTTTTAAAAATTGTTCGGTTAACTATGGTAAAGTTACAGAAAATATAGTTCAAAATTCGAAAAATGCCCAAATAAGAAATTCGTTTTGCCTGTAGGTCGAGATTTTTGGAATGTACTCCCCGAGACACGCCTCTACCGCACTTCAATTTGAATTTTTATATTCTGGTCCTTAAATGAGGAGTTGGAAGGTTATAATTTATGTTCTTTTTATACCCTCCACCATACATTGTATGGAGGGTATATTAAGCTCGTCATTCCGTTTGTAACTCATCGAAATAATAAGTTTAGACCCAACAATGTATATATATTCTGGATCAGCGTCAAATTCTAAGACGATTTAGCCGTGTCCATCCGTCGGTCTGTTGTAATCACGCTACAGTCAAAACTAATTAAGATAGGAAGCTAAAATTTTGTACATATCTGTCTTTTGTCTGCAGGAAGGTCAAGTTCGAAGAAGGGCTATATCGGCCCCCATACAACGGTTCAATATTCGGTAATTTGATGATTTAAGCCACATTTTCAATGGGATTGTCTGAAATTATACGCAAAGAGTTCTTTATAAGAACTTGACCACCTGAAAGAGAATTTTTTTATATAGGTCGACGATATCGTATAGCCCCCATATAACTGTACCTCCCGATATTTGGTATTTTGATGATTTTAGCCACTTTTTTAAGGGAATTATTTGAAATTCTACACAAGGAGTTTTCTGTAAGTACTTTACCACCTGAAAGGGAATTTTATATATTAGTCCATGATATCGTACAATGGTGCTCCTCGATATTTTGATGTTTTTAGCCACATTTTTGAATGGGACAGTCTACAAAATCCACACAAGGAGTTCTCCCTGAGTACTTTACCCCCTGGAATAGAATTGTCTATATAGGTCTACGTTTGGGTATTGCACCCATATAACGCTACCCTGAGGTATTCTATATTTCCACGATTTTCACGACATTATTCACCGGAATTGCGTCAAATTTCGTATTTGAATTTCGCAATGGGTACTACAACCTATGGAGGAAAATTGTCTATGCAGGTTCACGGTTCAGTATAGCCCCCATACAACGATACCTTCCTTTATTCAGTATTTTGGTGATATTAGCGACATTATTTACCGGAATTGCGTCAAATTTCGTTTTTGAAGTTCGGAAACGTTACTACGGCCTTTCACAAAAATTTTCTTATCCAGAACCACGTCTTTGTATAGCCTCCATACAAAGGTTTTAATGTGAGTGGTCTTTTTTTACGTGTATTTTTTTTTTGACAAATTTTCAAGTTCCTTTCGAATGGTGTAGGGTATAAAAATTCGGCCCGCCCGAACTTAGCTGCTTTTTTACTTGTTTGTGATAAATTATCATGTAATTTAAGTTACAAAAATTTAATAAAATGGTCCTTCGACTTGCTTAAGTAAAGGACCAAACCTTGGAGATGTCTTAACTTTTGGTCCTTCGAGATGGGAAAAAAGAAATTATTTTGTTGTAGATCTTAAAAACCATGTAAATCAAATGTGGTCTTCGACTTTTATCGTCGATACATATTTGCCTGAAATATATTATACCAGGGAATTTCTTTATACTATCAGCATTTTCTATACATTACCTTTCTCAAAAGGGCTCAATAGATTTCAAAAACATTTCTAACAGACTTTCCAAAAGTTTATCTTCAAACTGTAGTCCTTCGACTTGACAAATACAGTCTCCTCCGTATATATGTACTTCTTGTGATTAACATGCAAATCAAATTGTTTATAACTAAGTGATAGATTAAAATTTAATAAAATGGTCCTTCGACTTGCTGATTTAAATTAAAAGTAAACGAACAAAAGACCTTAAAATTTCTGTTTCTGTCATTGAAAGTGAGTCAAAAATATTTTGAAAAATTATTTAAATCAAACTGTCGTAATTTTGATCCTCAGAGCTGTAATTTCGATATTATACTTGCGAATCCCCTCTATTCTATCCGGATTTTCTATACGCAGACGTTCTTAACGATCCATAGATAGTAAAAACTTCGAATAGACTTCAAAGACTCAAAAGTTTATTATTTGGTCCTTCGACTTGGGAATATGAAATGTATGTTATTAAAACGTAATTGACCAAATTGGTCCTCCGATCTACAAAACCCGTCTTACACGTTATAAGGTTAGGTTGAATAGGGGGGCGAAACAGTATACACCTGTTGTGTGCTCTAGTTTAAAAGCTTGTTGGAAGAAGACCAGCAGTTTACATTCTGTTATATTTAAAATTCAGTTGCCTTAACCCCAATTTCTTAACTTTTTTATTTCATTTACCATGATCTGATAAGGTATGGTATGGAGCTGTTCCCTAAAAATTAGAATCTGATATTTGCAAACGCTTGGCATTGGCAGAGAAAATGCTCCAATAATTTGCCATCTTCCCCGTATGACCTGTATATGCTGTTATCTGCACATCCTCGTTTATACAGATGACCTTGTAGAGCCAGATGCCCCGTAAGGATGCCACGTTATTAACACTAAAGTTAAAGCAAAAGTCAAAGTCATATTTAAAATATAGTGGAGTTTGAATTAAAATCTGAATTGTATTTCTTTCATTTGATGGGAATAAAAACGTCCATTTTAAATTTGGTCCTTCGAGCTGTGTGATTCATATTATCTACTTGCACGATAAGTAATACTGAAACCACTCTGTTCTATCGGTATTCAAAAAAGTTTAGGTATTTAATTCCACTTACCTGGCCAAGAATTCATCATTGTAATAACGCAAGAACACCTTCGATTTTCCAATATCCCAACCTTCCATTTTCAGACGGATCAAAAGTAAACGGCAATTTTCACGGGTTATATCAACAGTTTCGTCGAAATCGAAAGCCAAAAATTTATAACTATCAAAAACAAAGCAGACAGTTTTTGTCACTCTTAAATCTCATATTCATTCATTTTACTCACCGCCTGAGAAACTCATCATAAGACAAACGACAAGAATAGCCCTGCTGGCGGCCAATAACCGTGTCAACGACACCCAGTGCCTTCATTTGCTGTTGCACCATATCGGTGTGGAAGGCCCGTGGCTTGTACTCCAAGTCGGAACGAATGCATCGCACAAAGTGCACACCAATATTTGAATTTTGGCTAAGAATTTTGAGCATAGTCAAGCATGTATAACGGAAATTGGCAGCCATTGTACGTAAATTATTGACCTGCGATATAACACCGGTCGACAGGGTGTTTAGAGTCTAAGAAATAGGGAATATTAAAAATATTATTATTTTAAATAATATATATTTATCGCCATATTACATATGATCTCCTTTGCGAATCATCAGCATGTTGGACACTTTCAAAATTCATTGTCAAATTGCCAGCCTTGGTCAGTTGATTGGTAAACATAACCATAACATTTTCATCCATTGACGAACGGAAGGCCTCAATCATTTCGGGTGGCACGAAGTCACGATTGATGTCGGTAAAGGCTCGAGTATCGTAGACAATGCGTCCGGTATAGTGGGCCACAGAAATCTCCGTGGCCGTATGTTTCTTAACGAATTGGCTGCTCTTTTCCAAAACGCGATCTTTAAATGCAAAGGATTTTTTAAGGAATGTTTGGAGAAAGTTTGGTAAGAGTGATCTTACCCATTATCAAGTCCTGATCTTGACTCATACGCGAAGCATCATCAATGATATAGAATAGGCCATCTGGTTTGGTAAGAAGATTATCCAAAGCCGTTTTGTTGTCATAGAAATTTAAATTGACTGGTGGTAGGTCATCAGCTTCCTAAAATTAGAAAATAAAGAATTTTTTCGTATTCCTTCAGAACTCTGTCAATCCTTTCCAAAGAACCGCTGTTAAAAATCTCAAAAGACCTTCGCAAAAGTTGATCAACTCATCATGATAAACATTTGGTCCTTCGACTTGTTTTCGCATCAATGCACATTTCAAATTTACATGCATAACAAATAATATATAATTTATTCAATAGTTTAACATTTAATAATTTGGACCTTCGACCTGCATCACTACAATTTAAAGGCCCATGAGCAAATTTCCTTTTCTTAAAAAAGACAAATATTCCATATTCTTACCATTTCCAGCATTTCATTGACAAAGGTACGTTGATTGTAATGATACTGCATCTGTTCATTGAAAGTGTTAATCATCAGCTGTTCCAAGCCATTGCGGTTAAAGCATTCGAAGCCGTACATATCATGGATGACAATGGAGTTGGTATCACCACTAAAAAGAAAAAAAAATAAAGATTACAAATCTCAAAAATCCCGGGTAATATCTTCTATACTCACAAAACAGCCCTGGGGAATGCCATGTTCATATTGATTTTATTCACAATCCAATCGACCAGACGAGAATACAAAGTCGAAGCAACAGCATCTCTAGCATTTCTAGCCTCATCCGTATTGTATTGGCGGCGCTCGGCCACACCTCCCTTGACCATAATGAAATTCGTCAGAGACCACATGAATTTCTTTTCATCCACTCGCAACAGCTCGGCAATGCGTGTCACCATTTCCGTATTATCAACCTCAGCATATTTACCCATTTGCCGGAAGCGTATATTGCCAATATTCAAGATGGCAGCCAATATTTTACGTACACTCTCCAATTGCTTATGGTTGAAATCCAAATCTTGTAAAATCGTTTCGAATTCCTTGAAACGTTCTACATTGCCCGATGGATCATCACGACGATACTTGAGTTTACCCTGTGGTGCATCGGGTGGCACGCGCAAGTAACGATAACCGTGCTCCGATTTCAAGTTGTACTCTTTCAGCAGACCCTCGGCATTTAGGTAATCGAAAAAGTAATAGAAAATGTGGAAGTTGTGTTGCATCCTGGTGGAGAATAAAATGATTATTTAAAAGTGATAAGAGATTGGGATATTCTTGAGAGATTTCATTTTCTCGACTCGATAGAAACTTTCTTAACTTAGCCTTTTATATTGGATGCAGGGATGACAATTGTTCCATTATTGCAAGGTGGGATTAACTCTGTCGTGTGTTATTGCAATCCGTTTAGAAAGCCACAAAGCAAGTGAAGTCAGAGGTCAGATTTGCTCGTTTTTACGGGCGAGAGAATAATACTCTCCAACGAGAATCAGCCGAGAGCAAAATCTGTTAGATTTCGAGCGTATTTTACACTCACTCGAAAGTGAGTAAACCCTACACACTCTTATTCGAACGGAATAGAAATAAAGAGTATACTCCATTTCGTTTTTTACTCGCCGGAGTACTCCCGCTCGAATTTGAGCGGAATTCACACTTTATTTGTATTCCTGTGAGCATTTCGGATCAATAATTAAGATATAAGTGTGGTTTTTCAAACAGTGATTAGATTTTCGTGGAGTATTGTCCTTGTGATCCGTTCAGTTATAAATTACCCAATGACAGTGGAAGCTTAGTTTAATGGCTTGAGGAGATTTATAAATCATCGACAATCTTGGGACAGCGTTCTACGAGCCTACCTTCCAGCCATGCAAATAGGTCTTAATATAGTAAAATTCATGTTTCTTACATTTGATTTGAAAAGGGCATATTGACCCTGTCTTGGTCAAAGATAAAAGATCTTCTTCAGCTATAAGTCGCGGCGGACTTATTTCCTAAGTTAGGTTGCTATTATATCGATAGAAAATGTAAGTAATGTATTTCGGGCCAGGTCCATCACGTCATTTTAGTTAAAGCGAATGGGAGCCTAGTACCCTGGTTTAATGTTAACGCTTGGGAGGACTAGTATTTAGTCAGGGCAGAACTATCAGAATTGACTGGTATCAATGCATTGCAATTTACGCACAGAATTGACAATTTTGTTTGTAAAGAACGTCCTAAAATGCCTTCCTCCACCATTCTATGGAGGGTATATTAGCTTTGTCATTCCGTTTGTATCTCCTCGAAATATTCATGATAGACCCTGAGACTATTTTGCACATATGTCCATGTGGATGCACTTTTTCGTATAACCCCCATATAACGGTTCCTCCCGATATTCGGTATTTTAATGATTTTACCGCCATCATTCACCCGAATTGTTTAAAATTTCGTATTCGAAGTTTGTAATGAGTACTACAGCCTATTACAAAAAATTACTTATGCAGGCCCACGTCTTCGTATAGCCCCCTTATAACGGTAGGTCTCGATATTCGTTATTTTAATGACTTAAGCGACGTTATTCACCGGAATTGTTTCAAATTTCTTATTTGAATATCTTAATGGGTACCACAGACTATGACAAAAAATTACTTATCCAGGTCCCCGTCTTCGTTTATATAAAGCTCATAATTTAAACGGTATTTTTCGGAATTTGTTGAAATTTTTCCAGTTCCTTCCAAATGGTGGAGGTATTAAAAGTTCGGACCAGCCGAACTTAGCTGTTTATACCCTACACCACAAGGTGGTCAGGGTATTATGTCTTTGTGCATTTGTTTGTAACAGGCAAAAGGAAACGAGATAGACCCATAGTTCCTTTTGATGATCTGCATAGAATCACTTTCTGAGTTGATTTATGCATGTCAGGCCGTCTGTCCGTCCGTCCGTCTGTCCATGTATTCTTGTGAACAAAATGCGGGTCGCATTTATTATCCTATTGAGATGAAACTTTGCAAACAACATTTGTTTGGCCCAAGGACGAACCCTATTGAAATTGGAGATAATCGGTAAAAATTTAGATATAGCTCCCATATATATCTTCGTCCGATTTGCCTTTTATTATGCACCAAAAGTGTATTATCAGCCCGAATAGTATGAAATTTTGCACATACAACCAAATAAGTATGCCAAATTTGATCGAAATCGGTTCAGATATAGCTATAGCTCCCATATATATTGTTCATCCGATTTGTTATTTTTGTCCTCCGCAGCCGTAATATGCACTCTGTAACAACAATATTTGGGGAAATATATCAAATGCAGCTCAGAAATACCTTTGCTAAATTTTATCCAGATCGGTTCAGATTTGGATATAGCTCCCATATATAACTTCGTCCGATTTACCTTTTATTGTGCACCAAACGTCTAATATTTGCCCAAATGGGATGGAATTTGGCACATACGACCGAATTTAGTCTAGAAGGTAGTATATCAAATTTGGTGAAGATCGGTTCAGATATAGCTATAGCTCCCATATATATTGTTCATCCGATTTGTTGTATTTGTTACCTACAGCCGTAATATGCACTCCGTAACAACGATATTCAGGGAAATATATCAAATACAGCTCAAAAATATCGTTGCCAAATTTTATCGAGATCGGTTCAGATTTGGATATAGTTCCCATATATATCTTTATCCAATTTCAAATTATTTGTGCACCAAATGGGCAATACAAGTCCGAATTTAAAAGATACAAATCCTTCGGCATATTTAGTCCTTTGAACTTTAAATTATAATTATAATCATAGCGTGTATGATTGAATTCTCCCTCAAAAACTTTTAATTGTTATGTGGAGCTCAACTAAATTAGCAAAGCGGTGTAGGGTATCATAAAATCGGCCCCGCCCGATTTTAGGACTTTCTTTACTGGTTTTTACTTGTTATATTTTGGATATTTTGGTAATTTTGGTACTGAAGACATGTTCTCTAAGACTAGTTGACGTAAAGCGCAGGCGTAAATCCGTGTTTCCCTGGACGTTGCACGTTTCTAAACCCACAGAAATTTCCATGAAATCTGATATTCCATAACAAATCTGATAATCAACATAGCGGATTCCAAATGTTTTTTTATTGTCATTTGGTCCTTCCATCTTAAAACATAATAACGGAGAACGTAAACAACATTCAGAAAATTATAAAAGAAAGTACTTACATATCCGAAGTGGCGACCCGTAATTTCTCCAACATGTACATATTGTAGACAGCTCCCGACATCTTACCCGTTTTGCCAAATGTCAAAAAGTATTGCATAACACACCGGGTCGAATCATTGTTGATGGGTGTGCCAGCATTGACCAAGGCCATGATGACTTTATTGCCATTCTCGACACGCTCCGTGGCACCACGATTACCGGCACCCAAATAGCACAAATGCTTAATGAGCAGCTTAACATTCGTAGACTTGCCCGAATAACTTTCACCCGAAAAGACGATATGTTGAGGTTCTTTGTGATGCAACATATCCTGATAGGCGGTATCGGCGACAGCAAAGATATGCGGCAAATTTTCCGATCTTGATTTGCAATTGTATTTGGCATGAAACTCCGGAGGGAATTCATTTTGCAACTCATTCGAATTTAGCGAGAGTAGAATGTCGCCAATGAAGGAATACGAGTTGCCCAATTCCATGCGATTGCGTAGACATTCGAGGACCACATCATCGGCAGGATTTTCAATGGCAGCCAAATCTTCGGGGAACATACGTTCCGGTTTGCCTTCGAAGCGTTTGATGAAGCCACGATCGACAAGGATTTCGGGTTCACGATAGAAACCTTGGGCCTCGCGGCTTAGCTCCAACAGTTCGGAAATGTCATTGCGCATCTGCGGGGAGATAAAGAGATGGGATTAATGAAAATGGGCGAGCAATGTCGAGCATAAGTGAAAAGATCGAATGTGTGAAGTCGAGTTCAAGTTGATGAACTATATTTGGGATTATTGGTGTGGAGGCAGATCAATCGACTTTTGGTAATGAGAAGTCTGCAATATTTGACTTATGCTCGAGGTAAAAATCGAATGTCGTCATCGATCTTCGAATTTGGGATAGTGGTTTTTTGTTAAATACTTGGAAAGCGACTCTGAATCGGGAAGTAAAAGTATCGAAAACCGAAATTCTCTGGCAAGAAGAGGAACAGTCGATTTTGAATTGCTACCCCATATCAGGGGTATCATCGAATAGAGTTTTCCCTTCACGAGTTATCATATAATCCGATATGAGTCAAATAAACTTCGAAATGGGATAGGATTTCAGTGAAATTACGGATACGGACTCACCTCATCATCATTATCGAAAAGTTCATTTAGGAATGGATGCTCAACCATTTCCACCATCATTGGCCGATTTTCCTGATTCTTTTCCAAACACTCGGCAATGAAATCGATTAGCTGTTGAGACCAATTACTCGGCTTGAATAAAGTGGGCGGCGGATTACGCACTATCTGAAAGAGAGCTCTCGATGGATGCATGTCGTAAAATGGAGGTTTACCATCGGCCAATTCAATGGTCGTTATGCCCAAGGCCCAGACATCAGCTCGAGATGTTATCTCCGGGTCTCCTAAAATAAAAATGAGATACATTTAATAAATTTGTATTTTTTTGTGATTATCTAGTCGGAACATACTAGCTTCTTGGGCCATGACCACCTCCGGAGCCATCCAGCAGGGTGAACCGATGCAGGTGCCACGTTTGCCCAAAGTTGAATCCACTTGGCGAGACAAACCAAAATCGCATAGCTTGACATTGCCCTGCTTGGTGAGCAAAATATTATCGCCTCGTATATCGCGATGCAAAACATGATTGCGATTAAGTTCCACAGCTGCTCGACAAGTTTCTCGTATGATATAGGCTATGTGCTCCTCGCGCATACGCCTATCCAGCTTCAGAAGCCTATTCACCAAATCCGTTGCAGTGCCACCACCGCAGTACTGTAAGTGTAGAGAAAAATCTTATTACCCCCTGCAAGATAGATTATTTAAAGGTACACCCCGTACCTCCATGGCAAACCATATTTCATCGGGTCCATTGCCTTTCTCCAGCTTATAGGCTCCATAAAACTCCGGCAAATTGGGGCTATTGCAATAATCCCTCAGCGTGCGATATTCCTCTTCAATGGCCACCTGATGTTCTTCATCGTAATGTTGAATCTTCAAGGCCACCATGCGATCCAATTCGAGTTCCTTGGCCCGAAATACCTTGCCACTAACGCCCTGGGCAATCTCCTCATAGATCTCGAATTTATCCGTGGGATCCGGCAATTGGGTGTAGGGTAAATACATTTCGATTCGTTTTTTTGTTTCGGATAATTCAAAACTTTTGATTTCAGAGTAGATTCCCGTTTATCTGCAAATAAAGAAAACACGTCCTAACACTCTTGGCTTTAACGTTCAAGTGTTTGATTCGCAATTGACGAAGGCAGCCCATTGGCCAATTGTTGGGTCAAAAATGTTGAGTTTTGTTGTTGGGTAATCCCATTAAAATTTCGGTTTGCGTAACACCTGAAACCGTAGCAATGCAAAACGATTTAAACCTCTCATTGACAGCAATTTTTGTCATTTCTTCTTTTCTCTTTACACGATTTACAACGTTTTACATGTCGAGCAATGGTGAATGCGATGGGGATATGAATGTTACGCTAAATGGTGTCAAAAACACACCACCATTCGTCGTAATTGGTTTAGAATTCGATTTTGTTGAGTTAAAAAAAAAACCAAGGCGCATTGACTTGGAATGGAAAACCATGAATTGAAAATTAAAATAAACTTACATTTTATTAAGTTTCAATTAAATATATAAAGCATTTTAATGTGAATTTTTGAATAATGCCTCCTAAAAAGAGACATTTCTGTAGAAGAAAAACATAATTATAAATCTTGCGAAGAGTGGTCGAAATTATAGAGAAATTGGAAGATCTATTGCAAGAACATGGACTTAGTTTCAAACAGTAACTCAAACATTGAAAACACAGGAATAATAAGTTCCAACCAAAGAAATTATATCACCCTTATCAAGAAAAATCAAAGAACGGAGTTTGAAATAAAAATTGAGTTTCGAAAGAAATATATAAAGTCAATTGGCATGTCACCTGCCAGAAGAATCTAAAAAAACTAGTTACCAAGGTCGTATGGCTTCCGAATAAATACGTAAACCTGCATTCTAAATTTTGGAAAAAGGTATTTTTTGGCATTTCTTTTTGGAGGAAAATGCGGTACCGCTCTCAGTAAAGAAAAATCACTGCTGTCAGTGAAGCATGGTGGAGAAGGAGTGACGATGTTGGGATGTGTGGCAGCTGGAGGAGTAGGCAATTTTGATTTTTTTTTGAGCGAACGATAAACAGACTGAGTTACTTAGATATACCGAAAGAATTTAAAGCAGAATATCGACGGGTTGTCCAGTTAATATTACCCTCTCCATGCATACTGCTTAAGACTTTTCACCTTATAGATTCACTGCCAAATAGATTGAGAGAGGTTTTTAAAATATCACGGATACCCAACGCGATACTATATCAAAACCTCTTATTCGATATTTTTTATATGTTATCGATTTTATAGTTATGGGAGTAGACTTTTGGAACAATAGCTTTTGAAAAGATGTATTATTTATGTTGTTTCTTACGAAAACCATAATTCGGTTTGCATTAAATTATTACTGAATTACGAAATGTTGCCACTGGTCTTGAACAGTTCGGCTGGTAGAACTGTAGTAGGGAACATCTCTCTATGGATCTGTTGTATAGATTCATTACCGTCCCTTGAAATTGGCTCTGAGGTATTTTTATTTTGGAAAATATTTGATGCTTAAAGCTTGCTATAATGCTACTTCCTGATTTATATCAAGGGTGTAATTTCCATTTTTCCTCTTTCACTTTTTCTTTTCTTCCTCAATTAATCTGAGATGCGTCATGTTGCACATTATCGATAGAGTTTTCACATTATCGGTAGAGAGACTGCCGTTTTTCATGAAATGTGTAGATTGCATTGCTTTTAGCTTTTCTAAATCAAAAATATAGTCTGGATCGATATTTGCTCGTCACATCATTCGGGCATTTAATACACTGTTTGAGTGTTCTCGGTATATCACATTATAATCTGGTTGGTTGATAAGCCAGGAAAACTAGCATTTCGCATTTTCAGCCACAACGTCTATTAGGCTCGTGCCATTCATTACCAAATGTTACCTAATTGAGACTTACCTTATAAAGAACGGAATTAACTATATTTCTCCGCCCTCAATTCTAGCATAAAAATTCCCTAGTTTAATCTTAATGTTAAGTCCGGACTGAGATCAATTCCACAAACTTTCTTTTGTCTGTTCATGGGCTCAGGAAAAAAATGTGATGTCAAGGTATTTCTTTTAAACGGAAAAGTAGATCTCAAAATATTCTATTGTCCAAAAGTTTCTTGGTCAAAAGCGAATTGCTTGAGCTCTTGGCTGTGCAATTTTAAGTGTAAGGGTCTTCCAAAATATTTTTGGGAGACAAAACTGTGACGTGAATCATTTGGTTGCTAAAGACTTTTTATATAAAAATATCCTACATGTGGATTTTTGAATTGTCACGAGCACCATCTATATTTTAATTATGTTCATGGATAGTGTTTCTGTGGACTGTGCTTGCTTTCGAACATAATTATTAAATAAGAAATGGTATAACCATGACGACGTCAACCCACCTTCTGAATATAACCCTGTTTGGGATTAAATTTGCGACTAAAATATGAAGGACGAAACTCATGGTGCAAACGCCATCTACATTTCGATTGTGTTATTTCCTTTCTGTTCTCCGTTACTCTAACGTTTATATGAATCCATAACTTTGTCTTCTACTGGTCACTTATGTTAACATTGAGAATTTTTTGTAATGGGCTAGAAATTACGAATGTCAACGAAAGTGCCTAGGGCTGGGAAAGAGTAAGTGCTAAATGCATGTACTGAGGTTATGACAGAACAAAATCCTTTTGTAATGCAAGGTTCATCAATTGAAATACATATTCGGGGAGATATTACTGTATGATGAGGCAACTTGTCCTAAATATCCTAGATATGAGTTTTTAAGATGTGACGAACGACATCTTTGTTTCAATATAACAAAATTACTTAATAATAAAAAACGTCATAAACATTGTGGCGTAAACCTACCACTTAATAATTAAACTTTTGGCGAAAATGTCATCTATCTTTCAATCGTGTTGTTTAATTTTGGTTTTCTGATATTCTAACGTCTTTATGAATCAATCTCTTTTCAACGCACTGGACACTTCCGTTGGCATTCGGAATTTTTTACAATTTTTTTATAGTAATGTGGAACAGAGATAAATTAGTTTGCTTTTTTGTGGGCTTCTTTGAACGGTGCAGCAAAAATAAATATTAAAATGCTTCAACATTCAATATAATTAAAAATATTTTTATAATGAAATACATGTTGAATTTTTAATGGTGAGGACGCCATCTACATTTTAATTGAGTTCATTGACAGTGTCTCGGCGGATAATGTATTGAATAAAATTATTTGATAAAAAACAATATGAACTTGGCGATATAAACCACTATTAAATTTAAATCCCTGTTGAGGACAAAAGTTCCGAATAAAATGTCAAGGACGATATTTTTGTGCAACACCATCTATGTTTCATTTTTGATATCATCTTCTGTAAATAACACATACTTTCAGGGGCATTTAAACAAGAGTCTTTTGAGACTAGGTCTATGCAGCACAAAAGAACTCAATGAACGATATGCATACTGTACGACTTTTCAGCTGCTGATTCTTAAGAAAAATACTGAAGTCAGAATTATGGAATTTGTCAATTAGATAACTATAGTCCAACAAAGACATCCTTTAATTAATAAAATTCGTAGATTCTTAGCCACAGCGAAAAGCTTCACAATTTGCTGAGTGCAAGGCATTTATTTATCTTTTCATTTTTATAAATTTCCATTGACACAAAAATTAAATTACAACGAGAATTTATTTTTGTTGTTGAGAAAGTTTAATGGTACAATTCTCTGAAATATCTGGAATTTTATTTAAAACTGCTCCTTTAATTTTCGATGAAGGACAACTCATTAAAATTCTTTATTACGTATCACGAATTTTTTATACTTATTAATGTTCTTTGGAATTTTTTTTTTCAAATGGATTTTATTCAGGATTGGATTCCCATACATTAAATGTCCTCCACAACTATATTTCCCATATAATTCTACAACAGTTCTCAAAAATGTTCAAAATGTTAACTCAATTATTTCTCATACACAGTATTTTCCAACAGAACTTAAATTTCGGTTATCCTTGAATGAGGTTTATTTTGTTTTTTTACAATAATTAATTAATTATTTCTTCAGCAAAAATTATCCTTTTAATCGCTTTTTTAACCAGTTAAAATTTAGATTTCTCACTGGCACTTGCTTATCCTTTAGTATCCTTAAGCAGAGTTGATCGCTTCACCCTTTTTTATGTTTGAACTCATTTAATTATTATTTCATAAATAACGCCACGTCTTTCATCGTCAATCCATAAATCAGAGTTTGCAGATTTTAATTAAATATCCTTGATGCATTTTCATTTGGCTTAATTTAATTAGCTTTCCATATTCATTTGTCATAAATTTTCTATTATCACATAAAAATAATTTTTTTTTTCAAGTCATCCAAAGGATCTTTACCCTTTCGATATCCTTTTTGAAGCTTTCACACTTTTAGTCCTTCGTTTCGATTTCGATTTGTATCCTTTCCTTTGTCACACTTTATTATTTATCCGACCGAGCGTGCAGTTCGAACTGCAGCTAAAAACTAACTGAATGCTTTCCAAATCGTCCACAAGACTTTTAGGTTTTGAGCTGACCAAATACAACGGCTGACCGACCGAATAAATGAAACCTTATATAAGTCTACACTATGAGAAATTTGGGACAATTAGCCTAGACTGCCAGCACACTATGGCAATGTGGGTGGGTAGCCAAAAGAAAAGTAACGCTAGACTGGAGCATTGAACGATTGGCGCCCAATCAAAGGTTAATTGCATTAGGGATTATACGAATGCGTGCAAAGCAAGAGACAGGGAGGAAGGCTAAACAGCAGACACCATACTGTGACACCATGCTAGACAGTCAGATAGCAGCACCTGCTTTGCAAAACAATTCACACGACAGATTAGAAATGTTGTCTTTTTGTTTTGACATTGGAAAAAATTAGTATTTTAGTTTGAGAGAAAATTTGTCTGGCAAAGAAGGAAAATATTGAAATGCAATTGGCTTTCAAGATGTTTTGCAAGACGTGTGTGTATGGTCTAAAATAGTGCAAAAGCAGATTATGTCATTATCATAATAAAGAATATGCAAATCATACAAGCAGTGTATGGATCGAAGTTGAGTCGGCACCTCTTGAAGGTCTTCTATCCAACGAAGACATCTAGAGGGTCTAACATCCACAAAAGACATTGTAATGGTCTTCCATCAAAAGAAGACGTCTTGAGGTTCTTTTATTCGTAGAAGACGTCTTAAATCACGAAAAATTGTGCAAGGTACTGGACTGATTGTTAGCCTTAATACTTGGGCATCTGAGTTGATGTCATCAATCAATTCAAGTAGTCAAGTGATCACTATATACTTGATGAACCTACAAACTTCCTATCGGGAATATCTTACATGAATTATACGATTTAATACGGCCAAAACGTCCCTTATTGAAATAACGGTTTGAGGTCTCTTTGGACCAAATACGTTTTGGGACATTTGGAGTCGATCTAGAAATATCCGCCTGTTTGTCTGGCTGGTTCGCACGATAACTATCAAAGAGAGTATCCGTTTTTTTTTATTATCGAACTTTGATCGAGTTCGGAGAAGGGCAACATCGGCCATTCCCTTCTGTGGTCTCACCCACAAAATCACAACATTTTCAACGAAAATAATTTGTCACATATAAAGAGACAAAATCATTAGATTTTGTGTAAAGTTTGCAAATCCCAATATTTGAATCAGTGCAAGGTCATGTGCGAAATTGAACAATATCGGTCCACTCCATTAAGTATATATCGGATTACACCTTCTAGTACCTACCCCACAATGGGTTAAAATTTCGAATACTTATAACTCTAATAAAATGTAAAATAAGAGTCCGATTTTCTTCACAATTCATACATCCCAATATTTTTATTGGCATAAGATCGGTGTGAAGATAGGATATCAATGTCCACTCTTTCTGATACCTCTCACAATGGGTCAAAATTTTGAATAGCCATGAAGTTCGTAAAACGTAAATTAAGCTTCCGATTCCGTTTAAACTCGGCACATCTCAATATTTCTATCAACAGAAGACCTGATATGAAGATGGGATATGTCGGATCGCTCCTTTTGGTACCTTCCCCACAACGGGTTAAATTTTTGAATAATTATATCTCTCAAAATATGAGGAATAATCATCATACAGGGTGAGATTAAAAACTGCAACAAAGTCAAACGCCATAATTTGTACATTTTTTTAATTTTATTGAATGAAAGCAAAAAATGTCGGAAATAGCATCAAATTTTAGATTAAGTTTAGAATTGTTCGAATTGGTAACCTTTGCACGAATTATGGCATTCAAACGGCCATATTCCATTCACACCTTGCCCGAAATTTGCTCTGCGGTATTTTGGCCCATTTGGCCAAACACAATAGTCCAACGGATTGACATCCGGAGATTTTGGTGACCATTGTGCGCTGGAAATGAAGCGAGGAACCTCATTTTGTAACCATTCATGGGTGGCGCGTGTTGAGTGCGATGGTGCTGAGTCCTGTTGGAATGTCCAAGGTCTGCGGCCAAAATGTTTGCGTGCCCAAGGCTTTAACACACCCTCCAAAATATTTTCGCGATAATATTCGGCATTTAGTCTGATGCCACGGTCGATTAATATGAGCGGAGAGCAACCATCGGCTGTTATGGCGGCCCACACCATCACTATGGCCGGTGCTTGAGTTCTGGTGGCCAACTGTAGGTGCATATTTTCAGCGGACCTCTTCGGACAACGAATGTTTTCCCATCGAAAACAGTTAACCACTTTCGGCCAAGTGAAGCAACTATTTAGCTCTTTTGAGTCTATTTTCTTTCTGTTGCGGTGTAAGTTCTTGCACTTTTTGGAATTTCAATGGTTTTACCCCGAGCTCATTTTTCAATATTTCGACATGTTCAGCTCACGAGCCATTTCTCGGCCACTGCGACGCGGATTTCGATCAAGTCGTTTCTTTATTTTTCGAAACATTTCTACTGATGTTTCTGTTTTCTTCCGTTCACTTCATGACGTCGGATTTACATTTAAATGCTGGAGTGCACAAACGATAGTCATTTGTGGTTTTCCAGCCAAATATAAAGAAATCACTCTATCACGCTTAAATTCCATCACGAATAACTTTTTTCCTGGAAAATTCTCACCAAAATGCTTTTGTACGCTTGTAAACAATATAATGAGCTGAATCTGGAATAATTTAAACAGCTGCCGGAAATTGCTGCAGTTGGTTGCAGTTTTTTTTCATTTCCAAGTCCAAATCGGGCACGTATAGGTCCGCTCCTTCGGTATATTATCCTTATAAGGTCAACATTTTGAATAATCGTAGTGTAAGTTAAAAAATATTTTAATAAACTGACATAGACTGAGGGTATATATCTGTTGGCAAAACCGACTGATACTTCTTAACTTGTTTTAGATACAGGCTGACGCCAAAACTCAAAACAACTGGTCAAAAGCAAAATTAGCTACTTAGGCTTTCGATTTTTGCCCTTAACGAAGAAAAGACTTTTTAATGTTTCGATTTTGCTCAACCATCCAATAATCGATTTTAGGATTGAAAATGAGACAATAATTTACATAATTATTTAATAAATAATAATATTAAATTTATTTTTGATATTCTTCACATAATATTTGGTAGAATTTGTTTGTTTTTGTTTTCTTTTTTTCATTTTCTTTCTTTTTGTTTTGTTGTGTTTATTTGTGTTCTTGTTGTTTGTTTGTTTTTTTTTTTATAAAAAGTTACTTTTATTATTTGTTATGGTTTTTATTGTTTTTATATATTTTTATTTTGTATTTATTATTTCGTTTCCTTTTCCATTCACTTTTATTGCGTTCGTTTTGTCTTCTCCCCTATTCAATTGCAAACACTTATCCATTCTTCAACGTGACATTCGTCGCATTCCACATTGCAGCACCATTGGAATTTACAATGACAACGTTCGGCACGACGTTCCTTAACTAAGCTATAACCACGGCCACAGCACAACGAGGTGCAGCCATCACTTAAAGTACTATTGCGATTACATTTGCGACCCACTGTGCCTGCAATGAAATGGAGGTGGAAATTTATAAGAGATTATAAATGTTTTGGCAAAATGAAGGAAGGACTTTAATATAACAAATAATTATGTAAATCCAAACAAGATATATTAATTTTCAAGTTGAAATTGAGGAACCAACTTCCAATTTGTTGCCTACAAGAAAAGAGTCACAACAGATGAAAGCCATTTAAATGGTTTCAAACATATAGCGACATCTTTGTTATATCGTTAACACTACTATTCTATTGTGGTCAATGCAGTATTTTTAGTGTAGACACAAACTACACCGCATTATCGACAGTAAATACTTAAAACGCGTTCCACATTTTCCTCAAAACCACATTTAAACCAGTAAGGAAAGCTCAAAAGTCGGGCGGGGCCGACTATATGATACCCTACACCACTATGCATATTTAGTAGAGCTCTCGTAAAAAGGTTTATACAGGGCATTTCAGAGCTCTATGAGATAGTTGGTACAAAATCAAAATCTATCTAATTCTATCGTGCATTTTACGAACTATAGCTATCTCTGAACCGGGTTTCTCCAAATTTGACGTATTAGCTTCTAGACTGAATTCGGTCTTGCCATTGGGCTGCCATTTGGGCTGATATTGGCCATTTGATGCACAATTAATACGAAATCGGATGAAGATATATATGGGAGCTATAGCTATATCTGAACCGATTTTTACTAAAATTGGTGTACTTGCTTCTAAGTTGGTTTCTAATATCACGGTTGTGGAGTGAATATTACGAATGTAAGGGACTAAAACACTAAATCGGATGAAACATATATATGGTTGCTATATCTATATCTGAACCGATTTTCACTAAATTTGATATACTTGCTTCTAGGCTGAATTTGGTCCGATGTACTAAAATTCAGTCCATTTGGACTTATATCGGCCATTTGGTGCACAATTAACCCGAAATCGGATGAAGATATATATGGGAGCTATATCCAAATCTGAACCGATTTCGATAAAATTAAAAACAGCCATTTCTGGGCTGTATCTTTTATCTGGTACCAAATATCATTCTTGTGGAGTGCATATTACGAATGTGAGAGGCTTAAACACCAAATCGGATAAAACATATATATGGGAGCTATAGCTGTTTCTGAACCGATTTTCTCCAAATTTGTTGTATTTGCTTTAAGGCAAATCTCGGTCACATGTGCCAAAATTCGGGCCATTTGGGCTAATATTGGCCATTTGGTGGCCAATTAACCCAAAATCGGATGAAGATATATGTATATGGAAGCTATATCCAAATCTGAACCGATTTCGATAAAATTTAAAACAGCTATTTCTGTGCTCCATCTAATACCTGGTACCAAATATCACGGTTGTGGAGTGCATAGTAGGAATGTGAGGGACTTAAAGATCAAATCGGATGAAAGATATATATGGGAGCTATAGCTATATCTGAACCGATTTTCTCCAAATTTGGTATACTTGCTTCTAGGCCGAACTCGGTTGGGTGTGCCAAAATTCAGGTAATTTGGACTGATAGTGGACATTTGGTGCACATTTAACCCGAAATGGGATGAAGATATATATGTGAGCTATAGCTGTTTCTGAACCGATTTTCTCCAAATTTGTTGTATTTGCTTTAAGGCTAATCTCGGTCACATGTGCCAAAATTCGGGCCATTTGGGCTGATATTGGCCATTTGGTGGCCAAATAACCCAAAATCGGATGAAGATATATATGGAAGCTATATCCAAATCTGAACCGATTTCGATAAAATTTAAAACAGCTATTTCTGTGCTCCATCTAATACCTGGTACCAAATATCACGGTTGTGGAGTGCATAGTAGGAATGTGAGGGACTTAAAGATCAAATCGGATGAAAGATATATATGGGAGCTATAGCTATATCTGAACCGATTTTCTCCAAATTTGATATACTTGCTTCTAGGCCGAACTCGGTTGGGTGTGCCAAAATTCAGGTAATTTGGACTGATAGTGGACATTTGGTGCCCATTTAACCCGAAATCGGATGAAGATATATATGGGAGCTATATCTAAATTTGATCCGATTCTCACCAATTTCAATAGGGTTCGTCCTTGGGCCAAAAAAATATTGTTTGGAAAATTTCATCTCAATCGGATAATAAATGCGACCTGCATTTTGTTCACAAGAATACATGGACAGACGGACGGACGGACGGACAGACGGACTGACATGCATAAATCGACTCAGAAAGTGATTCTATGAAGGTTCTCAAAAGTAACTATGGGTCTATCTCGTTTCCTTCTCCATGTTACAAACAAATGCACAAAGACATAATACCCTTACCACTATGTGGTGTAGGGTATAAATATTAAACAAGATTGCTACCAACTACCTTACGTGTGAATCTATCCTGAATTCATAAAAAATGTTTTAAAAGGAGAACCTAATGAGGTTCAAAAGAATCGATACATGAATGGTCTTTAATAACCAAGAAGTAAATAATGCGAAACTACAAAAATATTAGTGAAGAAACCTACTAGTTTAACCTCCGCCATAATATATCCCCCATATATTTAGTTTTTCAATTCGAAAAATACATTCTATGTCTACGGAAATCAGTCTAGCTTATTTTATGTAATATGATTCATTTTAGGTCCGTAAAATTCTTAGCATTGAAAATGGATAATATACACCTGCATTTAAGTACAGCCCCCGAGGCGATCTAGCCATGTCCGTCTGTCTGTTTCGCTGGTGCGCACGATAACTCTCGAGGGGAGTATTTGATTTGATTCAAACAAAGTGCATCGTAATATTATTGTCATACTTAGATCGACTGCGGAGATGGGCAATATCGGCCCACTCCTTCCGCTACCTCTTCCACTAAATTTAAATAATTTACTGCACAGAAAGAGAAAGGATAATCCGATTTTGCTCCAACTTTGCAAATCCTACTTACCCCACAAAGGGTCAATATTTCGAATAATTATAAATCTCAGAAAATATAATGTCTTCAAATTACACACATCACAATATTTTTATTAACCCAAGTTCTGGTACCTATGACCCATTGTGGGGTCAAAATTTGGAACATTCATGAGGAAGGTCATAAAACGTGAAATTAACATCCGAATCCATTCAAATTTCTTGCCAAAATTTCAAGCTTTACATCAACACAAGTTCCGTTAGACATTGGAATATTCCTTCAGAGGATCAAAACTTTTAATAGCCAAAATGATTATGAAATTCGAAATACGCATCCGATTCTCCTCAAATCTCGCATATCCCATTATTTCTACTAACACAAGATCAGCTGTGAGGATGGGATATATCGGCGCAATCCTTCTTGTACCTCCAACTCATAGGATTCAAGATTTTGAAAAACAAGCCTCAAAAAAGTGGAACAACTAATCGCTTCAAAATTCACACATCCAAATATTTTTGCTAACACAAGATCTGTTGTTAAGATGATATAAATCTGCGAACCCCTTCTGGTACCTCATCCACAAAGGATCACAATTTTTAATATTTTATCTTTCATAACTTGCGAATCAAATAATCGATCTGTATCAAAGTTAGCACAGGAATATTTTGCCATGTGTTAAAAGCCAGGACTGCGGATTTAAAACGGAAATAAGACTATTTTGCTGGCTTTGGCGTCGAGAGAAACAGCTAAGTTTAATCACAAAGAGTTTGCCAGATTTAACCATAGTGTCACTCCTTTTAATAAATAACGTGACTTTCCAGCCCCCTTTCTCCTGGGTCAACAATTTCCCGATAATTGTCTCCATAAGTAGATCACCCGATTTCATAACTTTTGAACGCCTTACTTTCCTTAGCTATGGGCCAGAATTTAGAGAGTTCACCAACCTTCACACTGATAACTGTCCAATTCTTCTGAAATTTGGGTACGGAAAAGGACTCCCCGCGACATCACCAAAACTATGTACCTGCTGTTAGAATAACCGATATAAGATCACATCCCCAACAGGAGCTGCGGGTGCATGAGCACAAGCGTAAACAGTGGCTAGTCCATTTGAAGTGTTGCAACATTGGAATCCTGGCAAAAAGGAAGACGTTATTAAAAGTGACTAAGGTCTTACAGTAACTTTTAGTAACGTTACAGCTGCGCTGATTATTTTAAACGGCCCCGCAAGCGATAGGACGAGGCAAAGAGTATTCAGTCGTAGCATATCTCTTCCAGCCTAGAAGGTACTACCACAGTTTATTATGGCTGATGTTGCAATGTCAACAAGTTTTAACATTTGGATAATCAACTATATGTATGTGTGGGCACGAGCCGTACGTAGAATTCCAGAACAAGAAGTTCAAACACTATAGAATGAAACAGGGTCATCTTCAATGTGGGATGATTTATACGGAAGTGCGTTACCTATAACTTTTCGGACTTTATAACCTTCCAGACATCATTATTATCGTAACTTATGTAGATGATTCCACGATCATGGCATCGAGTCCCACTCAAGATGACACTAATATTGCGGAATTTACCTTCCATGCGAGGAATATGAAAATATCCGCCACTAAGTCAACGGCCACAATTCGAAATGCGATGTCGAGAACACAGCTGAATATGCAGGACAAGGGAAATTTAATTTCGACCACGAAGTACCCGCAAGAAGAGTTAGCAAAGGGATCGCAAGCAGGAAGCTACTTCATTTTTCCAGCATCTCTCTTTTGAAGGTATTATTACTGTTGGCTTTGATTTCAGACTGATTTCTCTTCTTATGTTATCTGTTTCATTCCGGTGTCAGTCATGTCATCCTTCTACAGCAGATTCATCGTACGAATTTTGGAAAGCTTAACGTTCCAACGTTGCAAACCTACATAAATTTCAACCGTTTTGGTGTGACTTTTTTAAGCTGCACCACTTTCATTTTGAAGTTTCATCTCATTGACCTTAGACCGCTCATCCCTCCTCCATCGAATACAGATATCCGTTTCTGTTTCTTTCTGGCTGCAACTATTCAAAGTGACAGCTTATATTTATCATTTAATTTCGTCAAATCCAGGTGTTTCTTT